CATCAACCCGCACCCAAACTTCGTGGAACAGGGATCAAGCGCACAGTCTTCGATGGCTCAGCCCTCGCCGCGCGAGCTGCCAAAACCATCGCATCTGCGTCAGGTCTCCAGTGCATCCTCATCATTCTCCTCACTTGTTGAGTCAATGGGAGAAGATCACAGTGGGGCTTACGATGGCAATGCTTCGTCCACCGAGCCGCTGTTCAACTTCCGCAGCTTAGCTGCTGTTATCGGAGATGAAGACAAAGGCGATGAAACTGCAGAGCATGTTGAAGATACATCATCAAAACCGAGCGCCGAGGAGTCAGCTTCCAGCGCTACGCCTGTGGCCGATGAGATGCCTGGCCAATCCACTGCGCCTGCTGACCCGATAGCTGTGGGAACCGTCGCTGAGGATCGGGACTGCTTGATTCCCAAGGAACTCGAGACTCGGTCGGTGGAGATTACCAGCGCCACGCGAAATGCCGAGGCAACAACTTGAGGAAGTGCTAGAAAGGTTCATCCGAGGACATTCCAGCCTCCCACGGCATTGTCTCATATATGGCGATGAGAGACCCGGCTAGTTGCGAGCCATGCCAGAAAGCACTTATGGTTGGAGACAATCGCCAACTTACTCCTTGACTTTTTGTCCTCTTTACCTCATCCCTCTCTCCGTATTTCATTATATTCTCTCGGCGGGCTGACCTCTTTTATATACATATACAGTGCAGTAGATCTGTCTTTTCCCTTTTATGTGATTGTGTTCCTGTACTAGCGCAGATGGGCAGCGAGACTGCATCTAGTTTTTATGGCCGTGGCTGTTTTTTGTTTTTGACGGGTCCCAAGGGCTAAATGAGCTTCAATGTGGTTTGGGACGAGCCCTTTCTTCCGACAGGGCAAAATCAGATATTTTACTGTCTTTGGATAGACCATGAAAGCACGATCGTTAAGAATTCTATCAGAGTCGGTAATTTGACAGATCTTCCATACGAAGGGCGGAGGACAGCTCTCTATTAGGCCGGGAACTGTTGGCCATTGGCCCGAGGCAGAATGAGACTCAGTCTCTCAGATCAATCATAGAAACTTTTGCCAACAAGCGTATTGTAAGGACTGGTGAGTCCTAATTAATTTCGGTAGATCGGGAGGCTTGATCGTTTCATGGATCGATTGTTTCAGATGGCGTTACACTCAATGCCGTTAATGCAGGTATTAGAGGGTGTATAGATTGCATGCTCTGCATAATCAAAAAAACACACAAGTGGTGATTTCAGAAGCATTCTTGTTCTTATGGATTGTTAGATCACCGCCTGACATTAGAATCAATCACAGTGATGTAGATAGAAGGATACATGGAAGGGTACCTGCATTCCTCCTGCTACTGTTAGTGCCCTGTTATTATCCTCAGTGAGATCCACAGCCCCCACAGCTCCCCTTGGACCTAAAACATGTAATAGAGATTGACGTTTGATAGTTTTACGTCTGTTTATCTACAACCTGATGGGAGTCATTGTTAGTATCATTATGAGGAGTACGTCAAATATTTGAAGAGGGATTTGTCTCGTTCTTACTCATACGCAGGATTTCGGCAGTTCGTCATCTTGTAAAGCCGGCCTTCTGGTCTGCCTGATTTTTTCCGGTTGCCTTGAAGGGTTCTTCCTTAGCGCTGCATAATCATGAACTAGTCAGCCTACCTATTGAATCCTGCCAGAGAAGCAGGCCGTCACTCTGTAGGGAGGATCAAAAAGATATGATCTATCACCTTTGATGTCTGTACCTAAAAGAAACGACTACCTTGGATCTTCATTTGCTCTGAAAGCGGCTGAGCGTCTTTTGTTTCCGTCTCTTCCACTCCGAAACTAATCAATAGATAACGAAAACGGCTGGTTGAGCACACCAATGGACTCTCAGAATTGGAGCACTTTTAGATTTTCAGCTCATCCTAATCTCCGTCCGGCGTGTCACAACTGGCCCTGGTTATAGGACTATTCCCTACCACTAACTAAAGACCCTAAGAGTGGATACGTCCAGTCCATGGTTCTTGACGAGATACCCGGATTTCCCACGACGGAATCCTGCTTGGTTGGACCATAAGAATGATTGCAAAATACCAAGAACCTACGTAGTCCAACTCAGATGATCACGAATGATACTTCGTACTCTTGTTTATTGGCGCCATTTTGCTTCTTTCTGGTATCTTAAGAGAAAACTAACCTCTCCACAGCCTCTGCACTGCTGAAGTGTCTGTCCCTCCAGAATCGGTCTGGTTGCATTGACCGAAAGCTTTTTTTTTCTGCCTAATTGCTTCAAATCATCCACAGACGTCTTCAGTCTCGAAAATATATCGATTCTAATATTTCTGGGTGGAAGCACAGCGTCAATCTCATACGCCATGGCCATTCTGCAGAAGGAGAATCGGCCTCGTGGACTGCGAGTTCCGTCGCTTTCCGCCTTCAAATCTAAGAAAGCCGTCGACCACGAGCCAGCTCCAGCTCCCGCTTCTGTTTCTACTGCTCCTTCGGCTGCTGTTCCTACGCCTCCAGTTCCCGTCGCTCCTCCTCAGTACCCCGTCCGAACGGACTCTGCCCCCATTCGACCTGCACGACCACAGAATGACAAGGAACTGCCTCCGAATCCACTGTCGGCTTTTCCTCCTACATCGGCATCCCTAGGGCCGGAGGATATCCACCCAGCATTCAGAAACGAACCCTCAGCTGCGCGGAACCACAACTATGCGCCTCCTGCCAGAGCCCGCGATGAACCACCAGTCCATATCCTGACTCAACAGACCCCTTCCAGCGAAGACTCAGTACCGCCAGATGCAGGCGACCCGTTAGAAGACTTCATCCCGGATCCCGAGCCCGAGCCCGAGCACGAACCGGAACTGGACGGTGCCAGTGGACGCCTCGACTCTGTGTCGAGTGACGAGAATAATGGGCCTTTCACCCCTCCTGAGATCGAACCGGTCACGGTGCCACTGAACCAACTACATTATGCTTGTTTCCAGGAGCATCGGAGCATGATGCCAGCCAACAATGTCTGGTACTCGCTGCCGTGCATGGCCTGCCAGAAATTTGACCGGGAGATGCGCTACAGGTGTGTCTTCTGTTGCTTGCGCATCTGCGCGGACTGCTATCAGAGCTTGCAGAAGGTGCCGAATCGCTCGCTGGCTCGATTGATGGAGACCATGCCTGCAAATTCTTAATGCGACGTGTTGGTTGATGAATCGTAATCCTATCGTCGACGTCGGTATGACCGACAATTTCGGAATTATATATATATATATATGTATATTTTCAGTGCTCCCTTCGGTCAGTGGCCTGCCTAATGTGATGCTATACTCTGGATGCGTTATGACGGGAGTTTTGAGTCTGTTTATATACCTTTGTGGTCCCGAGCTAGAGTGGATGATGGTTTCTGTTCTTCGCTATGATATTCCTCAAGGGTATGCTGTACAATTGTCCAAGTTGCTTCGATCTCTGAGAATCTAAATTCTGGCCTCTCTGGAGAGTTACCAATATATGAACACATGTCAATCATGATCTTCTTCAGTGAGACCAGGACACCCCTCCATCTCATCAGTTTCGTAGCGATACTTGCACCAAAAGCAGTATCGATGTCGTTCACGCAGATATACGACTAACCGGGCCAGCCGTTCACTCGGATCCAGCGCGTTGAACTCATCGAGTTCCGGGTCTTCTTCCTCCAATTCTTGTTCCAGTATTGTAGACGTATCTTTCCCGGAGCCGAGTGCTTCTTTGTCGTCTGGCTCCAGCGTAGAATCGTCATACCCAGGTAACCGGGGGTTGGGGAAGAATGACGACGGGAGTGAGGTCTGAAGAACATGGCGCATTTGTAGAGCTCGCTCCTTCTCCTCACGCTCGCGCACCAAGCCTCTGTACAAGACATTGATCTGGGACGTGGGCTTGACCCTCACCTTGGCGCGTGCGGCGCGCGAATCACCGGTCGGATCTTCCACTAAGCCCTCATTGTCGGACTGCTCCCTATCCGGGGATTTATCCTCCTTCTCCGTCTGGCTCGCCTCTGCAGTTTCCACGACTCCATCCGCAGTCTCACCCTCAGCCTCGGCATCTAATCGCTCCGCTACCTTTTGCGCCGCGTGCACTTGCGCTTCAGTCCGTCGCGTCTCGCGCTCCTGCCGGACGCGGTCTCTGTAATCCCCTTCTTCTTGCTTAACTTTCTTGAAAGCCTCTTCCGCCTCCTCCCGGAATTTGCGCTTCTTCTCGCTGTCCAACCCAATGCCTCCGCGGCCCTCTTTGAACACTAGATTCAGCGGCTCGGATCGTATCCGTTCCTCTTTATCGTCATGCAAGGGTTGGCTATCTCCGTCTGAGGGCTTACTATCTGCGGGCGGTGTCTGCGGCTTTCCTAGAGTCTGACCGGGTTTGAAGCCGAGTTTGGCCATCATCTGGAACCCCTTGTTGGAGGGGTCCAGCGTGCTCTTGGACAGGGCTGCATCTCGACGGGCGGCTTCTTGGGCGGCCAGTTCGGCTTTCGAGGGGACTTTGGCGCGAGCTTCTGCCTAGGACGCGGGTGAAGTTAGCTGTTGGGGCCGAGCGCTGCTAGTTGTTATCGAGTGGGAAACCCCGAAGAAACGGGACCGACCTCTCGCTGCTTGCGGAGCTTTTTCTGAGCAAATGTCTCCTTTTGCTGTGGCTCCTCGATCACCATTGACATGTAGTCATCCTCCTCCTCTCCTTCTTGCGCGGGGTGTGGGTGAGGGGGCATGGTGATGATTGCGCCGTGCCGACTGTCGGAGACCAAAAGTAAAGCCGAGGAACAGCCGGGAATTAAGTGGTAACTGGATGAGATCGAAGGCTAGTTGGGAATTTGTATGCCAAGGAAAATAGTTACAAATGATGGCGTAAAGTTAATTTGCCAAATGCTGAGACTGGGGGCTTCCTTGATTGCGGGGAAGAAAATGACGACCAAAATGAAGCGCTTTTTTTGTCTCTCTCCAGAGTTTCCCGCGTGCTAATCTTCATTACTATTCCATCCCTTCTCATACCTCTGCACCACACGTTTGTCTGGCTTTCCCCACACTTCCGAAGAGATGATGGAGATGATAGGTTAAGATGCTGATCCGCTTCTCTTCCCAGTGGCATAGTGACTCTCTGCCGTGTTTGTACTTCGGCTATATCGCCGTTAATGGCTATCGTGTGGCTTAGCTTACCAACTTGAGATTAACTTACTCCCCTATTTCAACAATTCGCTGGCATCACTTGGAAAGATGTTGGTTCCGGATCGTCTGTTGGACTGGTGCCGAAGAAGACCCGAGAACCTGAGGCCAGAGTCTCGGGCCTGCGACAGTTATCTTCGGTGTAGGTATCACTTAAATAGTGTTTGATCACCTACTCTTGGAGTATTCTTTCGAGCCATTTGTCTACTGTCCTTTTCATGCCGATAGGGCGTGCCGCCAGAACATGCACCTGAACAATCTTTACGCCTTCGTTCTGCTACTACTTCCTGCTGCATCCGCGCGGAAGGCTGTTGTAGATCTTGGGTACACACAATATCAAGGCTATGAGCTCTCCAACGGCGTTGTACAGTGGCTGGGCATGCGTTATGCTGCTCCTCCTGTCGGACAGTTGCGATTTGCTGCCCCACAGGATCCCCTGCCAACAAAGGGTGTTCAAGAAGCAAACAAGGTAGATATTCAGTTCAAAACCTAAACATCGTAAGCTTCTCATGCTGATTATCTGGGCCGTAGCACGGCCCCATTTGTATCCCAACTGGGGAATACCCTGTGGGCTCTAGTAAATCTGAAGATTGCCTGTTCATCGATGTGTATGCCCCAAGGAATGCGTCCAATCTCCCTGTGTTCTTCTGGATACAAGGTGGTGGGTTCAACTCCAATTCAAATGCAAACTACAATGGAACTGGGTTGATCGAAGCGTCTGGCTCGGAAATCATCGTGGTTACCTTCAACTACCGAGTTGGACCTTATGGGTTCTTGGCTGCCACGGAGGTCCAGAACGACGGAAGTCTGAATAACGGTCTCAAAGATCAGATCAAGGCTCTCAAATGGGTCCAGAAACATATCAGCAAGGTGAGCCGTCTTCTACCCTATCTGTTTCTCAGCTTCGGTGGTTAACTCTTCGTCATCAGTTCGGCGGCAACCCCAATCATGTTGTCCTCGGCGGTGATAGCGCAGGGGCTGCTTCCATCACACTGCTGCTCTCAGCCTATGGAGGAAGAAACGATGGCCTATTCCACGCTGCAGCTGTAGAGTCACAAAGCTTTGCTGCCATGCTTACATTGGCTGAGAGCCAGTTTGCTTATAACAACCTGGTCATCCGCACCGGCTGTGCGAGTGAAAACGACACACTCGAGTGTCTGCGCAATCTTGATACAGCAAGCCTTCAGCGCCAGAATTTCAACACGCCACTCCCTGGAGCGCAAGGGGCACCGCTGTACATGTACGGACCGATTGTCGACGAAGACCTCGTACCCGACTATACGTATCGTCTTTTTCATCAGGGCAAGTTTATCAAGGTGCCAGTCATCTTTGGCGACGACACGAACGAAGGCACCGTTTTCGTCCCGAAAGATGTTGCCAGCGTCTCGGAAGCCGACAAGTTCCTTCAAAACCAATTTCCAAAAATCCAGCTTCATCACCTAGCCAAGATTAATGAACTGTATCTGCAGGAAAACCAGACTCAGTCTTTCCCAAACGCTAGTGTTTGGTGGAGACCTGCAAGCAACGCTTACGGAGAGATGCGCTACATCTGTCCTGGCATCGACATGTCGACCGTCTACGAAGATGCTGGGGTCAAGAGTTGGAACTATCACTACGCCGTGGAAGATGAAGCCGCTCAAGCTTCAGGTACTGGTGTGTCCCATACAGTCGAGGTCCACGCCATTTGGGGGCCCGAGCACACGAACGGGGGCGCCCCTCCTTCTTACACCACTACAAACGCTCCGGTCGTCCCGGTCATGCAGGGTTACTGGACAAGCTTCATTAAGACATTCAATCCGAATACTCATCGCCATCCTGGCAGTCCCGAATGGAAGACTTGGGGTGATGCGGGAGGGTACAGCCGTATTTTCATCAAGACGAACCAAACGAAAATGGAAAGGGTCCCGGCTGACCAAAGGCAGAGGTGTGGATATCTGACCAGCATTGGGACGGCGCTGGGCCAGTAGACCTAGACGGCGTACACTAATTCTGGACGTCTGTTTTACGGTAGGACAATAGGGAAAAAGGAGAAAATTCTTTTGTTGTCATTTGACAAGTGTATATACAATAAAGCCTTGAAGCCTGGTACGCCTTCGACAATAATGATGCCAGAGAAACCAAGAAGCCCGTAACCACAGACGGCCTGAGTATCAAAGATGTCATGAGAGGAGTGGACGATCCTACCACTTCCCCTGACGCTTTCTCTTCTCCCGCTCGTACGCATTCGCCTCTCGGCCCTCCTCGTTCTGGATCTCCGCCACGAGCCGCTTGTACTTCTTCTCGTACTCGGCATCGCGCTCCTTCTTCTCGCGCAACTTCTCGCGGGCAATGAAGTTGGCATCCTTGCGCAGCTCGCGCATGGCACCCTTGCGCTCGCGCTTGAACTCCGCCTTGAGACGGTTGAGCTCCGCCCGCTCGCGGTTGGGGTCGTAGTGCTTGTCCGGGTTGAAGGTCTCCTCGAACTTGGGGATGGCGGTCTTGATCGCCAGCGGGCGGTGGTTGTGCAGCAGCAATGGCCGGCGGGTCGCGCGCGCGCGGGAGAGATGTGCGTCAAGTTTGTCCAGTGTCGATTGCAGATTGTCCTGGACTGTGGACGAGAGTTTTCCCTTTGTGGATCTGTTCACGTGGCGGAGCACTTGCTGCACCTGCTCGAAGATCTCGAAGAATGCCGACTTGCCAGCCCACAGGTCGGACGCGGAATTGAGAAGGGTGACAAATGTGTGAATAAGAGAAAGTTTAAGCTCGTCTTGAGCCCGCTGATCGGACTGTGCGGTGGCGATATCCCAGAATCGGAGCTTTCGTGGGTTAAGCTGTTTAGAGGGGATCAGTCGCAGCGATTCTTGAGAACCCCTTGCTGGGAAGAACCCAAGGCTGCTGGTCGGTTCTGTCGGACAGAGATTACAGAGGGCATTGAGCACGTAGTTGATGAACTCGGGCATGTACCGCTTCGAAATGGTCTGGTACTGGAGACAGAGGCTGGCGGCGTAGGCACCTGTGGCGTAGTCTCCGAGCGAATTGATAGCTCCTTGACCCAGATACCGAGCGAGACATAAATGGGCAGGCGTAGCAATTGCGTGGAAGTGATCCGAAGTTGGAAAGGTGGTTGCAATGCCTGTGAAAATGACAAGGTCTCCAGCGCGCAGGTTCAGAGGACGATCCGTCGCAATCTCACGGAGATACCTTCTGTACGCCATGCATACGCTTTCCGGGTGGGACTTGGCCAGAGAGTGAATGTGACGTAGGATGGCCTCGAGAACGTTGAAAGGAGGATGTTCGGGTTGCTCAGCCATATAAGCAACATGACGGACAAGGACAGCAGCGAAGCGCCCTAATTTCGTCTTGTTGTCGGCGTGCAGACGCGGGTGGTGCAGGGCTCGAATACGCTGGATGACAGTAGGCAGGTCATTCATGGGAACATCCTTGATGACTTCAAGGAAAGATTCATGATCTTCGGGACATGGGTAAGTGTAGGCCAACCCTTCACTTGTCTTTTGGGCACCGTCGCCTGCTGCTGTGAAATCCCCAGATTTGCTGGTAGGAAGTGTAAGCCCATTGATAAGCTCATCTTCTTCCTCTTCTTCCTCCCCCGATTCTTCTTCAGACGATCCCTCTTCGTCGCTTTCGTCAAATGAGAGACTCACATCTGACCTCGTCTCAACAAGATCGTCGTCAATGATAAAGTCGTCCTCATCTTCGACTCCCATCTCCAGACGTTCATTTGTCTGAGGAGAAGGCTGCTTCAGGCCAAATGCCTCCGCATCGTCCGGAATGGACTCATCGTCAGAGTCCTCGCCTCCCGTTTCGCTTTCTCCTTCATCATCATCCTCCTCTTCGTCGCTCTCCTGTTCACCACGCATTCTTCTAAGACGCTCTTCCTCAAGGGCCTTGAGTCGTTGCGCTTCCTCTTCGGCCTTCTCTTCAGCCGTCTTGGTACGGTCTGTTGGCTGAGAACGCTTGTCGAACGTCAATTGTTTCAATCGCTGGTCATATTCTTTATTGGGGTCATTATCCGCTGTCCCTTTCAGCAAAGCCGCACGGTCTGGGTTCATCGACTCCAGGTCGTCCTTTGCAGGCTCCGGTTTCGGTGGCGGCTTCACACCGCGCAGCATGTCGAAAAGATCGGGAAGTCCTTTATCGAGCTCCTCGCGGAGATCGTCGTCTTCCTCTTTCGCCTTTTGACGTTCCAGCTTGTAGAACTTCGACTTGGCGATGACTTCCTTCATGACTTCGTGTTTCGATTTTTTCCTCTCCGGCTGATCCTCTCCATCCTCATCATCAAAGACAAAATCTTCCAGCTCTTCATCATCATCGAGAATTCTTTTCCTTTTCCGCGGCATTTCTGAGTCTGATTGATCCTCCTCCAATCCATGTAGATCCTCTTCAAAATCGTCTTGAGGGACGTCATCGCCGAGCGTTAACGTCTGCCCTTTGTGCGTGAGTTGGAAATCGTCTTCATCGTCATCTTCCAGATTGAACATCGACTCCTTGCGCAGTTTCTTCTGACTTTCTCTGGCAAACCGTGCTGCGGCTCTCTCCTCGGGTGTCATGGTCGGATCGTCTTCACCGAAACGGCGATCAACGATACCACCAATCTTGTTCTTCCTTTCCATTTCCCGGAGAAGCGTTTGGCGTCTCTGTCATACAGAAAAAAAAACTTAGTTGCCGGGCAATCTACATTTTGAACGACATTCAACCCACCTTTTCTTCTCCAAGTGACTTTGTCACTCCGGGCCTTGATAGACCAGTGGCCGGCTTAGAGCCTCCATCTCTAGTAGTCACATCAAACTTGCTCCGGGACGTCACTTTGATTTCGAAAGGATTAAATCGATCTCGAATTGCTTGCAGAGCGGCATTCCGCTGCACACGATTCTGAGCGCTGACGCCAGCCTTCGCATTCTGGCGCTTTTGTTTCTTCGACTGCTGCGGCGCTAAAACACCACTCTCGCGAAGCGACGTCTTCAACTGTTTCAACTGCGAAGGCGGCATGGTGATGTGTTGGTGTTGAAGTAAAAGCGTCCTGCTACTCCACCGGAAATTTTTTGGACGATGCATTTTTCAATGATTGCCCGCAAAAAAAGTAGGCTCACCGCTTTCGTCGGGGAAATTCTGCCGCGCCGCTTTTGAGATCATCGAACTACTCCGCTGTCTCCTCACATGCAGATGTCCTCTGGGAACCTGCATTGCCATAGCAAGATGGCTTCTCATCTGAGTGATAGATTTCTCTGGTTATGTCTGGGTATGTTTTACTTATTAATCTTCACGATGTTTGTCTAGAAAGCTAACTAATCAGGCGTGTCTCTCTTCTTTGCCGTCCGCGGAATTGCTGCGGATCTCCGCCGAGTGAGTGATTTGACGGAGATCAAGCATGTCGAAAAGGAAGACAAGATAATCAGTGAGGGCACAGAGGATGGTATGCTGCACGTTGCCACGAGAGGCTTTCCAGTGACTGACCTCCATCGCAGCTCTCAAACTAGATACTCTTTTAAAGCTGTCCGATAGCACAAGTTACGACCTTCGTGCTGCGTACGCTGCTTCGGCTTTCCATTATGAAGCGTTGACATCGGCTAATGGTCCGTCTAGGGCACTGCGCATCATTGCGGAGCGATCTACAAAAGGCTGTACGCGAGATTTGCTTCTAAAAGACCTGGCAAGCAAAAATAAAGAGCGACGAGGTAGAGCACTAACTGCGCTATACTTCCTGCTATCTAATAGAGCGCGTACGATCTCCATCGATATATGCTTTAGACTGCTCGCATACTGACTGAGTGGCAATATGTAGTTTCACGAACTGCTGTCTGTTCTCGCCTGAAAGACCTCTCTACCTACACTGCCCTCGTCGATTGTTTGTGCAATTTCCTTGAGGAGCATGTTGAAGAAACCTCTACTACCGACTCGCCTATCCTGCCGAAAACGAGACCGCTGGGCGAGAAAAAAGCCCTCAGTATTCTCAATCTGATCCTGCGAGAAAATATTCCTGCTGCGCTGGAAGCTGGTGTGGTCAGTCGTTGGCTTTCTAAATACCCATTCCCGTGTGCTTTGACAAAGCCGTCGCGGAGGCAGGACGTGGTGATACTCATGAAGACTTGGTGGTCTGATGACACGATCATGAGCGAAATATTCAGCACGCTATCATCTCACCCCGATGGTACAAAACAACTAAGAAAGTATGGTCTAATGGGCAGCATGATGGAGGAGAATGACCATGATGATGATGAAGAAGATAGCGATGTATGGATGATCGATGGCGAAGATACAGCCGGGTCGAGGCGCCTTTCAGGGAGAAGGCTTCGCGGGGGAACCGCAGAAGAACAAGCCGTCAGAAGGCGCAGGAGGGAAGCCATGGTGTTGAGCGACGGAGTTCATCCTTTAAACAATGACGATATCTTTCAAATACCTATCGCAGAATGACCGTGAACGGCTCGCATATTCTTAATCTTCGAGGGCGAAGACATCCTTCTCAAGACGCTGTGGGATATCCTGCATGATAACTTTCTGCATATTTGTTTGATCATTCATTTCCTCATGCCTTCATGATACCCTTTATTGTTGATAGCACTATATATTACAAACTCGCATATTCGGGACAAGCCTCGCGTGCTGCGTTCATAGCCCCATCCAGGCTGACTTCGTCACATGGTCAATCTTCTTCCGGCTGCTCTTGACGAAGCCAAAAGCTTTGAGCTCGGACAGACCCCTGTAGAACATAGTCATGATCATTCGTTCATCACAGCTTTCACCTTGTTCGCTTTCGAATACCGCATAGAAAGCCTGCCAAATATCGTATACGTTAACCAGAGAGCCAGACTCGAGGTATAGCTGATACAAGATCGCTGTGGAGGGTTGTTTAGTAGAGAGCTTCGTTTCAGAAGACTCTGACGTCGATATCAAATAATCAAATGGGTTGGACAAAGCCCGTTCAATGGCGAAACGAGGCCGCGGCGTGAATGTCTCCTTCAGAGGGTTCCTCATATCGAGGAAGAATACCTCGTGCAAGCACAAGTCCTGCGGCCTAAGCAGGGTTTCCGTAAGATATGCCTCTAATAAATGATAAAAGCGATCAATGATCCTCGTGTAGTCGACACTGTATTTGGACACCTTGCTTTTCCCCTTACTGAGTTTGACCCGCTGTTGAACGACGGTCGTTGCCACCATCGACTGTCGGCTGTCATACTCACTTCGAAGGGTTTCAGCACCTTGATATTCTTGCAATAGAGCATCTAAGTCTCTCTTGATTTGTTGAAATTCCTGGCCTTTCGTCAAGCCATCCGGAAGACTAGAGAGAATGTCCCCCAGTCTTTTGGAATCCAGACTTCTCAAGATCTTCATCATGTCCTCCACGGAGGAGGAGTTCAGCAGTTCTCCTGACAGGGCGCGGATGGAAAGTTCCGAAATATCTGTTCTCTTGGTGAGATTCAGAGTTCTTCGACATGATTGAATCCACCGGACAGTCTGAAAGATATCACGCATCTTCTGCTGTCCGGATCTAAGATGCCGCAACATTTCTTGGAAGAGAAACTCGTCATCTTCCAGCAATCTGCGCGCTTGGTCGAGTGACCCCACATCAAGGAGATGCTCACAGTAGCTTCATACCATTTAGTGAAAGCACGTAACCGCAGCAGAATAAGACACTCACCCTCGAAAGGATGGAAGATTTCTGATTGCTTCACACAGAGGACCGTTTCGAAGGGCTCCGGGCAAGTTGTTTGCAAGAAGTACAGACAAAGGATTCGCGAAAAAGTGGGTCATGTAAGAATACTGCCAAGTTGTTTGTGAGATATTGGAACTTTAAACGAGTAGGAGGTGCCGGAAGATACCTTGATCACTCGACTGAACGCCTCCGGCGTCTGAAAGTAATCGTTCGACCTCTCAAACAGAACGGCAGTAATGCTGCGACCCAGCCAGAAGCGGCCACTCGGATCCGCCTGCAGTCGCTCATATATGCGATCGACACAGTTGCTCGCATCATGAATTTCAAAATATTTGCCTCTCAGTAAGGCGACAGTCGATCGTGGAAGTCTCCCTTCGAAAAGCTCAACAGAAGTTGAAATACCGAATAATAGAGTAAAAGGTATTCTGTCGAGCCATGAGCTGCAGTAATATGTCAGATTCTGGATAATCGAACCCAAGGACGTCGGGCCTCACTTCAGTAGCAACAATAGGTCTGTCAAAATGGTGGGATCGAAGGCTTCGCTGTCTCGAAATGCGAGCACCATCTTCTTAACTCCCTTTCTTTTCACATAGTCGCTCAGCAAGTCAAGGTCATATGCTAAAAGTCTTGGTCCCTGTACCACGCTAAGCCATCGAGTTCGTCACGCTCGGATTAGAGCACGGCAGTCTAACCTCTCTGTCTGTCAATAACTTTTGGTACCCATCATTTCCTTCCGTATTCGTCACTGCGGCACGTATGATGTTTTTCAGCGTCGTTTTCAGGTTGGGCGTATCCCCGGATTCCAGCACAACTACACCACCCTCTCCTGTTGCGGTCAATTGATCATTCAAGCGCGAAAGTAGTCGACCGAGAGAGGAAACGTTCGACCCGACAGTGACCAATGCCGCTGGTATGCACCCTTTATATCTATTTCCAATTAGATTCCGTAACCCGAAAATCGGTGCCACTGGTGGGATATCCGTACGTCTCGAATGAGGTTGATCTGACAAAAGACGAAACTCTCTCATAAACATCGGAGTCGATATCTACCAGAATTTCCTGACTCGAAGTTAGAAGAGGTCATGCCATGCCAGGACTGTTTATAGCGCTAACTTGGATCTTTGCTTCCTGCTCGGACCATAGCTGTTGGTAGGTTTCGTATCTCAATTTGAAAGCGGGTTCGGGCTCGTCGCCGTTCAATAATGGCACAAACGAATAGGCAGGGTCTATTTCGGCTTTCCGCTCCCATTGTACTTTTCGCCGTTTCGAGGGTCTTTCTCCGTGACTTTTGTTTTGATTAGAAGGTTTATAGATATAGACACCCTAGTTGTGTCAGCATTAATTCAGTGCGGCCTTGAGTGTCAATTGTTCCACCTACCTGGCTACTTGATCCATCTTTAAATGGACCCAGCGCATCCGTCTCTATATTGTCTGGATCCATCGCGCGCGAAGCCTCCTTGGGAAAAGTAGGCCAGACAGCTCTTGAGAAACAATAATGGTGAACCTCGAATGCCGCAGCGGACCTTCGCGTGTGCCACTAAGCCAAATCGGGTAATAGTGGTTCTTTCACCGCGAAGCTTCAAGATCCTCATCTATCCAATTTCTTTCTTGATGTCCCTGCTCTTTAGTATCTCGACAGTTTCGTCCGATGATCTAAACTCAATACTTCATGCTCCGCCAAGCTGCTCGAGGAGCTCGGTGGTATCAATATGTGGCCCACAAAAGCCCGTCGATTACGTCCTCGTCTCGACTGCGAGCCTTCTCCATTCTAGCGCCACAGCATCTACATTATGGCGGAAAAGATGACAAAATTCGCTTCTACGAGCAGGATACGCGAGGGAGTAAGACCAGGAGGGAAATCGATCCGGAAGCTGAAGATCGCGCAGCGAAGGAAGAGGTGGAGAGTGAGCTTTCGCAGCTCGACAAGGAATTAGAACACCTGAGAGAAGGCCCTTATGGTCCGAATAGCGCCTTCATGAGAGAGTTGCCGGAACATGAAAGGAAGATAGCGCTTGAGGCCCTTCAAAAACATGCAGAGGAGACAGGTGAAGCTGATGACGACTTGGGTCTCGATAAGGTCTTCGATGAGGAGCTGGACAATATGCTCAGGGAAGAGTTTGAAGGCATGGCAATGGAGGAAGAAAATTGGCTGTCGGAAGCGGAGGAGGAAGGCTCTATGGAAACACCGGCGCTGAGACAGCCCTACGAAGTGACATTGAACGACGCAGAATCTCATCCTTACGTCGAGAAGCTCAATGAGTGCCTCAGACGATTGGCAAATGACCATTCTAATGAACGTGCTAAGCAAGAACTGTGGAAGTGGTATCGTCGCTGTCGACAAGTTATCCCCAATTTCCTCCGATCAATTCCTGAAGAGGCATTGACCATGATGTGGGAGTCTCAGGCGAATGGGGAATTGACGCGCGCTTCTCGCGCGACTCGGCTACAAGCCTTAGCTGAAGACACAGTTTCCGCAGGCAGATCTCTTCCTGCACCCCGTGCCCTTTTATACATACAGTCACTTCAGGAAAGTGGCAAAATAAACTCGGCACTTGACCAGTGGGAGGCGTGTCAGTCATCCCTTTCCCAGAATAAGGAAGACCTTGAGGCATATTGGAAACTTGGAGTACAGCTCTTCGCAGCTGCAGATGACCCGCAGCGAGCTCAAGATATTGCCTTAGCGTTCTTGGCCAACGATAAATCGCGCGAGCCCCGTATCCTTCTTCCGGTCATCACAGCCTGGGGAAGACAGCCCGGGAAAGAAGCCGAAGTCAAGGCATGGGCTTTGTACTTGCAGCTCAAGGCATTGCTAGAGTCCAAAATGACGATGGAAGACTATGACTTCGTTAGCATTGGACTGCTCAAGGCGGGCAAACTCAACCTTGCCATAACCGTTTTCAAGGACATGATGGTGACCGCTCAAGATCCCGCAAACGACTCTACTGCTCTTTATAAGGCCGCTCTGGGTCTAGTAGGCAATCTGCAGATGTCCAGCATTCGTGAACAGGACGTCAATAAGATATCGCTTTCGACTCTGACCGTTTTACCTCGGCGGTTCCAGAACCGATTTTTCTATGCAAGCTGGATGAAGAAGCTTATCGGAATGGGCGAGGTTGACTCCGCTGCGATGGTGATTGAGCTGATGTACGAACGGGGTGTCAGACCAGACTCTAAGCATTTGAATGGAATACTTGCTGCGTGGCTTCGCGAAGGGAATGCCATTGCGCGAGCCAAGGCTGAGCAACTGGGGTGGGCCATGATCCAGCAGCGCATTGACTTGGTATGGTCACGGGTCGCATCGCCTGAGAAATCTCCTCAGCTCCAAATACATCAGGAGACAGATGGCGCTCGCATTCCAAAGTTCATGCAGAGACAGGTGCCCTCAGCAAACATTGAGACCTTTTCGATTCTTCTACTCCATTATACCCGTAAGGGCGATGATGACATGGTCAAGTATCTAGTCAAATGCCTTGGGGATGCTCAAATCCGGCCGAATTGTTACTTCATGAACCACCTTCTATATGCTGAGCTCAGAAAACAAGATATTCGGTCCGTTTGGGACAAGTTCAAAGCCATGTCTGTTTCAATCAAACCAGACCTGGAGACATACGCCTGCCTATGGGACTGTGGCAAGCTTCAATATGACAGAGGCCGGACAGCCTTCGACGCAGGGTTTCCATCCGCGCGCTGTTTGTTTGCAGAGATGATGAAGTGGTATTCTCAGCTCACTCCACGCGGCAAGTCCACTGCGCAGGAGGAATTCTCTAAAGAGCTCTACGACCAGATCATTCGCTGTTTCTGTCTCTCCAAGGATCTACCCGGCACTCTGGTTGCGCTGTATTCACTCAGGGCAGCCTTTGGTTATTCCCCCGACGAGGTGACTGCCCGTCTGATCATCCTGCAAGTTGCGCGCATGGCCGGTGTTCCAGCGGACACGCCTAAGCGTCGTCTACGGCGTTTGTCCACCACCCCAAGGAGCAAAGAGAACATTGCACAGGTTAACCGACTCGTCGAGATCCTGAGCGAGCGCAAAGCGGCCGGTCTGCAAGCGCGAGGCCTGAGTCCCGACCAGCTCGAGCCTCAGGAGAAGCAACAATACCAATTGGAGATCATGAGTGATCTACTACGCATCGTCATAGCTCGAACGGCTACCGCACCTGGTCAGATTGAGGATCAGATAGCGAAGGTTGCTGTCGAGATGGGCGTGTCTGATGTTGATCTCGGGTCTTCATTGGATGACGATAGTTTGCTTCTCTAAACTTGGTGAGGGTCATGAGCTACTAGCACTGGTGCCATCACCATCATGTCATCGGATTTGTACCATTATGGCGGCGGACAATCATCACAGGCATATAGAATGGCGTTTGGGTGCGATCCGGAAAATTTACTTAGCTTTGTTGTACATTAGTTTAGCCATATATACTAGTTTAGCCATATATACTCTCTCCTATGGTTCCATTGACCAAGTTTATTCCCGGAATAGTACCTTGAATGATTTAGGGACTCAGGATTGTCATAATGTTCTAATTCCACTGGATTCCATGCATAGAGGTAGCTACTATTACAGCCATGAATGGCGAGAGAGCAGTTGGACCAGCCCACCTAAAGTTCGTTCCCTTGACAAAATGTCAAGAGCCGGCGTTGCGAGTACGAATCTGTTTTCCGTGACAATGATAGTTTCACAGGTCAAATTGTCTCATGCAAATGAACAAAATTCCATCTAAAAAGCCGATCTTCATTTCTTCCCCTTCTTTTTCTTCTTGCTGGCACTGCTCGATCCACCAGCCGCAGTGTCGGCAGCCTCAACCAATACAGCCTCGTCATCACTCGGGGCTGCAGTGGATGGCGCAGCAGACGACTCAGGAGTCTTGGTTCCGGGTGTTGAGCTGGTAGTCGTAGTGGTAGATGTAGCTTGCTCGGATTTTGTGGCAGCGGAACTCTCTGCATCCAGCTCCTTCATAAACCCCTCTTGAATGCTCGCCTTCTTCTTATCCCACCACTCCCGCTCCTCAGCCAACTTGTTCTGGTAAGACTGCAACCGCTCACGGAACAGCGCATTGTTGAGCATCTCGTTCGCGGACTGGAAGATCGTTTGGCCCCAGTTCGGCACGTACGCGTTGGCCTGGAGAAGAGCACCGGAATTAGCAAAAACTTCTCCCCACGCATGCAGGGACTGAACGAAACAGGATCAAAAAACAAACCTCAGCAACAACATCCCGGACTTCATCTTCCATCTCCTTCTCCGCCCGCTGGAATCGCTGCCACAGATCGTCCCCGACACTGCCCCGTTGCAGAAGCATAGCTAGCGCCTGCTTCTGGTTTCGGAGCGCCATAACGCGTTTGATATCCTCGATTGCGCGCCGGAGAAGCGCAGCCTTTAGTACCGTCTCCGGCACCGCTGGCGCCTTTTTCTCTTTCGACGAGGATGAGGCCGGGGGTCAAGATGAAGAAGGGAGAAGTAGATGTCTCGTTGGAGGTGAGGGGGGAACCATGGTTCTAACGAAGTTGCCTTTCCTGCGAACCACGACAATTGGATCAGCGATCAAGTCTCCCTGTGGAAAGAGAAGAGAGTCAACTTACTGGCCTTGCGCTTGCGGTATAGTGACGAGAAAGTTGCTAGGGAGCCGAGCAGAACGCCGAGGTAGGCGAGTGGCACGGCGAGACTGAGCCAATCCACCATGTTGTGACTGATTCGGATGTATTCAAAAGAATTATAGGAAGAGGTAAGGAGTCAGGTGAAGTGGGTTGTGTGGTGAGAGTTTTACAGATTAGACTTGGGTCATAGTATCGTCAACAATGGTTGGTAGGGGATCGCGATGTTCTCTGCGCCCGAAGACTAAACTTGTTGCCTAGATGACCCTTAGTGATAGAATATTCAGTGTTGAAGCTGCTGTGAGTCCATGAAAGGGAAAAAAAGAATAACGAATGAAAGGCAGCGTGACTGGAATCTAAGTACAGTGATTCTTGCGGAGGAAGGATAAGGCCAGCCTGGTGTTTTAGGCGCAGATCACATGGCCTCCACTCTTCACCATCGTCTACCTGCATCAACGATCTACGTACTACGACGGACCATGAGCGACATTCTGTCGGTTTTGAAAAGGAAAATGACTTCTTTGTATCATCTTATCTACAATGTAGTGTCTTGCAGGCAGAGAATGCAAAAAATAGCTTGAGGAAATGTCGAAAAACAGTAAACGCATGCATTCCCACGCAAAACCCTCTTAGCCCTAAAAAATTGCAGAAAACACCGGAAAAATATCCAGTCAGTGAGAATGTTCGTAGAATGCATGTAAAAAGGGTACTCGCGGATGATGCTGGAGACTTCACGAACAGGCAAAGGTACAAGAGATGTCAAGAGTGAAAGGAGAGAGAATCATCAGAAATAAGCGACCTTAGTTGTCCCTACCCAAAGAACCAAGGCACACACAATTTTGGAGGCTTGCGGAAAGCGAAGAGAGAAACAAAGTTCAGGTACCATGTCTAAGCATGGAAGATATCAGCCCCCAGCTGCTCCTTTGTTCTTTGACTGATGGGACCGATCTCCTGCATCGCCTGCATGTCCTCCAGAACTTCATTGAAGGTATCCGTGATACCAGCCGCAACCTTGTTGCGGTTCCACTCCCCTCGCATCCGCCAGATGTAGTCCATCAAGTTGCTATTGATCTGCTCTAGCTGCTCGACCGAGCACCCGCTGGTTCGTTGCGTCAGTTGGTTGTGTAGGTTGTCGATAAGTTCGTGTTCAAGTGACACTTTGGGAGAAAGATCTTCGTTGTTGAGCAATGACTGGAGAGCCGTGGGGACATGAGAGGACTGCTTGACAGGCGCCTCAAACAAGGGCACAGGGGGTTGATGCTTGGGCTGGGATTGGCTCTCCCCGGCAGCAAAGTCTGCGTGTCCCGGCAAGGACTCGCGGGGATGCGGGGAGGGCTGGCTACTTTCCGGCTGCTGAGTATCCGGGAGATGCTCCTCCTGCGACACACGGTCGGGGTATTGAGTGAGGTCAGGGAAGTCGTGCCGCAGCCCATGCGCCGCCATAGGACTCTGGGTCAAATTTTGCGGCACGGAGGACTGTTCGGAGGACTTCTTGTCAGAGGTAGTCTGCGTAGTAGATGCCTCGTTTGTATAGTCATTCGGCTGTGATCCCGGGGCCATCGGAGTCATTGGTCCTTTTTGAGACAGACTCGAGAATCCTGACTCACGCCTCAATTGCTGCGAAGGCGCCGTGTGCGAGTACGGCGGCCTGGGTTGGGCGGAGGGTCCGAAAGAACTGCCCTGCGTCTCTCTCTCGCCGGAATGATCTTCAGAATTAGTCATGTATACATCTCCATCTCCATCGCCGCGAGACTCGTGAGACCCATTACTGATCGTGGCATGGTTACTAAGATCATTCAGATCCGAGCCACCACCCTCATGATAACCGTTGGTGAGAAAGCTCACGGCCGAGCGCCGCGTCGGTGTCTGCGGACGAGCTTGCCCATCCGGGAAAGATTCACCAAGCACCACAGGTCCGCTTGAAGGGCCGGAGTCAGTATTGCCGTGGGGAACATTGCCGGTCGCTGGGAGACGGGAACAGGCTTCCTCCCCCCCGGCTTTTTTCGCCTGTTCTGCTGCGAGCTTCTCCCTCTCCAGCTCCCGCAGATAAACATTCTCACATTCCGCGACTAGGGCCGGCTCCGCCTGCTCGATTGTGGCAATGTCGACCTCGACGTTAGAGAGAAGTTCATTGGCTCGCAACAACCTCTCTTGGTCGCCTAACTGCCGCGCGTCCTTTGCCAAGCGCTTGATATCAGCCAAGAAATCCTTAGGTCGCTTATAGTAACCATTGGAAAGTCTCTTTTCGATAGTCACAATTTCCATGTTGTAGAAGAACTTCCCCGAAACAGTTTCCCGGAGACCCGGGACTCCATGCTTATCGAAGGCTTTTTCAAAGGGCCTGAACGTTGTTCGCTGCTCAATGGGCAAGTCACTAGTAACAATGTTCGGATCATCTTCTTCCCACAGGTAGCGGATCTGCGACTCGTCAATTACACCCGTCCTGAACCTCTTGTATTTCTTGATCTGGTCCATGATGGGCTGGATCCTGATCTTTAGCAAGTTCAGGGTCTGGTGATCTTTCTTCTTCTGGGCCTTGAGCTGTTCCTTGGTCGGAGGCGGTGCGGGCTTCGGCGGAGGAGGTGGTGCAACCTCTAGTGTCTCGAGTTCTCTTCGTTTACGATTTTCGGGATCTGGGAACTCGGACGGCGAGGTCTTGACGTAGTCGATCACCCTACCGAAGAACTCATATCGAGCATCATAGTCTGGGGCCTTTAGGTCGTAGAAGTTCTTCTTCGAGAACCCGAACATGTTGCCTAGCAGCCCATTATCCACCTCCTCACCGGTCGACTCCAAGACGCCGAACAGGAGAACAGGATCTGAAGCAGGAACTGATCGTAAAAGGCCCAGGAAAGTAGATATGACCGTCGGTCCAACAGTATCAAGCCAAGACTGAAGGTTTGGAATGTATATCACGCTGGGCTTGTGCCTCTTGACCTCTTGGAAGAGCTGTATGACGGCTGCTTCGGGAGACCTAGTTGAGTCACTGAGCAGGGTCGGAAGGTCAAAAGCTTGAACGTGCAGACCCTCAAAATGATGGAGGATGGCGCCTGCAAGATGTTGCTGGCCCATGCCGAAAGGCCCACGCACCAACATCCTGGGACGGTACACTCTGGAGGTATCAAATTCTTGCTGCATCTGCTCGCGGCGAAAGCCTCTTGGCCCTTCGGGTTCCTCAAATTGAGCTTCCTCGAGAGCTGTGAGCCTCTTTCTTTGTGGGAGTATTTCGAACAAAATGGTTTTGATATCGGACAATGGTCGACGAAGCAAAGGCTCAACGGTCTTCGGTAGAGGAGCAGCACCGGAGGAGGCAGATCTCTCAGATGAGGGGACAATCTTCTTAATAGCCAGCATAAAATCCTTCGGAGTGACATCGATCTTCTTGGGATCGATGAGAAGCTTCTGATCTGACTTGTAAATCTGTGGATATCTTCTCTGAACTGCGTTGAGAGCAGCCTCGGTACAAAGAGCACGGAGATCGGCTCCACCATAGCCCTTTGTGATCTCGGCCAGTTCGTCCTTGATGTGATCAGGGAGAGGCGGATCCCAACCTTTGGTATGGATATCCAAGATTGCACGCCGACCTTCAGTATTGGGCAACGGGAAGTAAAACTCGCGATCGAACCGGCCAGGACGACGCAAAGCAGGGTCAATAGAGTCTGGTCGATTTGTAGCTCCAATGACAATCACTTGGCCACGGCCATCCATACCGTCCATTAAAGCCAACAGGGTCGACACGATGGAGGCATGAATCTGTTCCTGCTTGCTTGATCTCACGGGGGCCAGTCCTGCAGAGCAAATGAGCGTTAGCAACATAACAGCCTCGAAATCGGCGCGTGCACTCACCATCTATTTCATCAAAAAAGATGATGCTGGGTTGAGTCTTTCGAGCCTCTTCAAAGAGCAGCCGGAGCTGCCTTTCAGCCTCACCGACCCATTTACTCAGCGCATCCGCACCCTTTCTCATGTAGAATGTAACTTTGCGACCCTCGGAGCTAACACTGTTGGCCAAAGCCCTTGCCAACAGCGTTTTACCTGTCCCAGGGGGTCCGTGGAAGAGGACACCTCTCGGCGGCACGATGTGAAAACGTTGAAAGATCTCGGGGTAAAGGAGCGGAAGGGAAACCATCTCTTTCAGCTGGTCGATATGCCCCTGTAGGCCACCGACACTGTCGAAATTGACATTAACGTCAACACCCAAGGGATCGGCATCAGCAAGCGCCTGCTTATCCTTGATTTTTCCTAGATTGGCAGGTGTTCCGGATGGACCTTGTAGAGGATCGGCTCCATGGGTTTGCGCTGAAGCAAGAAGACCTGCACCTGGAGGTCCGGACACAGAGCCGCCAGTCGCAGCGCCCTTTGGGTGTTGCATTACTTCATCGTCGCTACTATCGCTGTCAACACCGCCTGTTGCAGCAGGTGCGCCAGGAGGAACCAAAATCGCTGGTGGCCCGCCGCCTCCAAAAGGTCCATATGTCGGGAAAAGTGTGCGCTGCCAACTGCTGCCTCCGCCTCCCCGACCTCGCCGTGAAGGAGACTCGTTGACCTCATTCTCGGCTTCCTCTATTGGTAGGATGAGATCTGGTCGAATGATCCGGTAGTCGACGTCCTTCCGGCTGCGCCTTGGTTTCTCGTAAACGATATCTGTCTGGAGCCTTCTGCGGGGTCGATCTCCTCTGAGATCTTCCAACTCCTCAGCAAGCTCCTCGGCAATATCCCCTCGTACTTCGGACTGTCCACGGGAGCGAGAAGCTCTCTTGCGTAGACCAGGACGCCGACCGGCGGTGCTATCCTGCTCCTCGTCATCTCGAGCCTGACTGACTTTGCGCGGTGATCCATGTGATTTTCCGGACACTGAGAGCTCTTCATCATCGTCCTCATTCGACTCGTCCTCCTCAGGCTCAAAGTCGCTCTCGTCGTCTTGTCGCTTTCGCTGAGAGCTTCTGGGTTTCTTGCGGCCGGAACGACGTGGGTGTGCTTCCTCCTCTTCGTCCGGCTGCGCCTCTTCAGTGGGCTGACTTCGACTGGGCCTGCTCCTCCTCCCCCGCGTTGTTGGACCCTCGTCGTCTTCATCGTCCTCGTCTTGATTCTTCACATCGCCGTTCTCAGATTCGGGCACGACTCCAACCTCGTCGCCTTCTGCTGCACCTTCGCCGCTGTCCTGCCCCGATGGAACACCTTCCTCAAAATCTCCTTGATGATCGCTTTCCATAATCTCTGGTTGCGAAGCCTTGACCTCCATCGAAGTCTCCTCGATAGGCTCGAATATTTCCGGTTTCTCATCAATTTCGACCTTTTCAGGCCCAAAATTGAGACGTTTGGACGCGCGAGACCCACGCCGGCTTCTCCGCGCTTCCATCTCCGGACTGTGTGTACCTCGCTCCACGAGCTCCATATGTCGACCGGAGTTTGTCAGGGCCACGATATCCTCTGAGGGGTCGCGAGTACGGCGAGTTATCCGCCTGCCGCTTTCAGGGAGAGGCTGGCGTTTGAGTGCGTTCACTTTCAATGTCACGACGGTGCTCTTGCGCTTTTTCGGCGAATGGTTGGGCTCGGAGTCATCCGCCTCTCCGAAATCATCTTCGACGCTGCTGGAATCGCCCTCGTTATATACGGGTCGATTAGTCGCAGCCCTCCGGGCGGTGAGGCCCCTTGCATTCTTCGGGGCGTTAGGGTCCTCTTCATCCTCCTCATCGAAGTCAAGCTCGTCCGCATCATCTAGAACATCATCGTCGTCGGAGGTGATGTCGTCGTCAGAATGGCGACGCGCTCTCTTCTTCGTTGGCTTCGGCTTCTTCCTCGACTTCGATCGAGCGGAGTGGCGAGATGAGCGCACTGGACGATCGCTGTAATTCTCGTCATCCGAGTCTGACTTGTTCGCCAATTCCTCAATAGTGCGCTTTGGTCGCGGCATGATGGGTCGCGATAGGCGTCGTAAAGAATGACTTCTTTTCACGGTCACCATGTCAGCAAACTCAACAGGGTACGTGGGCCAGCAGGTAGGGTCCGCATATTAAAGAAGGAACGACTACTTGGTTTTATCTGTGCTTGAGACAAAGCCGATGAAGATGTGAACGGTGACTTACCAAGAACAGTGTGCTTAATGGGCCAGTGAGTGAGAGGATAAAAGGTAACGAAGCCCAAACAAGCACCCTTCCCCTCGAACTATGAATCTAAGAGACAATGTCATAAACAGCTGTAATTGTCTAAATATTAATCAGACATTGAAACATCAATCTCGGATATGTTAGGCCTGGCCGACGGGTTGCAAGGTAGTTCTCGCACGGGGTCGACGGCGAAGCGCCAATGCGCGCGGGTCAGGTCGAGTGAGGTAAATCTCCCTAACCAACTGCAGACGCGTCACTTGCAAACACTTCTTCACAGACAGAGAGGCGAAGCAAATTCCAATAAATACTTGCTGACAGATGAATGAAGCACCTGGAAATAGCAGCAACGATGCTCTCAGCCAGCATGTCCGCTCCAATATTAGACCCTGTGGAATAAGCAATACACCGAAAGGGCGGAAAGACTCGCGAACACCTTTTTGCTTGCCGGCACCAGCCACACATAACCAAGACACCGACAGCCGCGCTCATGCGCCACAGCTAGTCCTGTTGTAGACTAGTGGCATGCCGTTGACCAGCCCATTTCGGCAACGCACGTGCCGTTCTGGGCCTTGAAATGCTCCACGGCACCACACGCTCACTTTGCGGTTAGGGAAAACAGTCGCTTTTTGGATGCTGTTTGTGCTCTCATCCTCCTGTCCTTGCCAGACCCAGGAACACCGTGTAAACGGTCCGTAAATCGCATCATAAATGCTATTAACGTCAAAATGGATGCCTGAGTTCAGTTTCACTTGCTTCAACCCGTTTTCTGCGATGGTTGGCTGCCAGTAGGAAGTCCGTCAAATGAAGCAACATAGCGATGTCAGGAACAATCAATGATAACCCTCATGTCATCGAAGCTGATCGTCTATGGATTTTGCTCCCCGCATGTTCCTCATCGCTTATCGCCTAATGCCCTGCGTCATTCGGCGCAGAGCCGCTCGGGGACCACCCAGCGCTTGATATCATGTGATGGCTGAGTCAGTGATGTTTCTCGTCCTCATTGGCAAATGATATGCGTGTTAAGCCTTCAGGATATACTCCATACTCTCCTATATAATTCAGCAAAGCGGAAATAAATCAGGAAAGACATCGGAATGCTCTTTCGCTCGGTAGCTCAGCGCTTCTCAGCGCCCTCCTCTTTTCTCCTCAGAGCTGCGCCATCCGGTCGGAGGACCTTGACTTCAACACGGCCCGGGTTCAACGCTTCCAAAGGATCCAGTGCTTACAGAGAAGGAGTCAGTGTTTCCCTTTACTTGTAATTTCTTCAGGTGTCAGACTTTATGTCTGCATGCTTCTACGTCAATCGTTCTGGGAGGGACAAAATCCTTTACATAAATGCATTGCGCGGTTGGCAAGCTAACTGAGATCCAGCTCGCTCAATACAAGACCTTTGCGAGTCCCTTCGCCAAGGTATTCTTAGGGGCCATTTTCACCTACCAGGTTATTTACTGGACTTGGTTGAAGCTTGAGATGGACGAATCCAAGTTTGAGAAAAATCGTAAGTTAGGCTCGCTTGTTTTGCTCTCTTCTATGGTGCACCTTTAACGACTAGTAGAAGAGGTCGCCGCCCTCGAGAAGAAGGCTAGGGAATTAACGAACGCACAAAAGTGATGATATCTCTCTGTCTTTCCTTAAGAGTTTTGTTCTGTCTGATTGGTTATTTACTGTACTATATACCTCACATGTCCCATGGAAATATCTTCGATGCTCAGTTGGACGTCTGATTGCGCTAATGGTATTTCGCTCATTTCTGCTTCGAAAATGCCATAAGATACCGTGAATCATGTATAACTTGTGCTTCATGTATATGACGAACATCACAGGAAGGGTCTGTCCTTGGTGCTGCAATCAAAAGGCTGCCACTTGGTCGCGAAAGTCCTGTCAGTTATCGAACTTGACACGACGGGCCACCGCCGAGCTCTCTGCTTGTGGCAGTGGTATACCAACGATTCTCCTCTTTGATTTGCATCCGTTGTCTGCGTGGGGCTGATATGGATCTACCATCGGCCCAAACGTGTCAAGTTTTCGTTTTCGTGATTGCCCAGGCTCGGAAGAATCCTCCAGTTTCAAGGCCTTCTTCGAAGGAGAATCTTTCTGGCAAGAAACCATCTGCTGCGAGGTCTGCAGGTCGAGAGCTACCCCATCATCCTCAAGGACAGTGTCCGATGAACAATCACTACAACTGTCATTTTCATGCTCAGAATGGTCATCTGTGGCAAACGGGCTCTCATTCTCGTTTCCACCGGCCATGCTTCGTCCCTTTGATTCCTCACGTTCTTGATCCTCGCTCGAATGGCAACAGTGCACCCAATCTCCGATCCGCTGCCCCCTACGGAAGTGCTCAAAATCGATATGATCGAAGCGCTCATTCCACGCTTCCCGACCATCGCTGTGAAGAGGAATAATCTCCCTACAGAAGCCGCACCAAAATCGGGACTGTCCGTTCTCGCCAACACGGTTATTCGTGACCGCAACTCGCACCCCTTCATTATCGACGTGATGATGCGTTTTCAAATGCTGCACGAAGACCTCTTGACGATAATACCACCTCACATATCGTTTCCCCTTTGTCAAATCGCACAAGCTACAGTACCAGCTTTGGATGTGATAGTGCTGCGAGTTCTCATGCCGTTTCCAGTCCGCCTTGCTGCCGAATGTCTTGTTGCACTTAGGGAATGTGCAACCGTAAGGTCGCTCGTGGCGTTTCTGGTGTTTCCTAGGGCACGGTGTTAGAGTAGGATAGGGCAGTCAGGAAGGTCAATACCAACTTCATTTCGCACCGCAAACGCGTTCGTTTCGCGCAGACTCCGCATTGGATCCAGTCTTTCTTGTCCGGTTCTCGATCAGGCACTTTGGACGTACTGTCGCCAGATGGCTCGGGCTTTTCAGATAGACAATCCAACGCTGCAGTCAATATCATCTGGAGAATTTCCTTCTTTGGACTGCACAGCTCGGTACTAGGACTGGTCAGGTAGTCTACGTCGTTTGCCTGCTGAGAATGCCGTCGGTGGTTGGAGTTCATCATTCTTGTGAGGGCATTGATCATGTTAGTCGCAGCGTCCGCTATAAATTCTTCCATGTACTCGTTCTTCTTGCTGTCTTGGTGCGCCATTGTGGGCTTTTGCTCTAGTGCTGAAGCCAAGTTGGGTGTGTCAAAGCTCGGCAGTTGAACTGAATCTGAAGTAGCCATGAGTGCGGCGGCCACGAGTTCCTGATCTCGTTCCTGTTCGCTGGTCTCTTTGATCGGGTTCGAGACCTGATGTTCGTTCTCTGGCGACGTTGCTCCTCTGAGCGTCTCGTCTGCGACGTCTGGAATACACGGAATTTGACTCATATCTTCCATCACGCAGTCCTGTTCAGTCGGCAGCTGTATCTCTGGAGATTGGTTTTCCTCAAACATGGGGTCAACTGCAGCAAGGGTCAATTCACTCGCTTGCGTGATACTATTGTACCACTCATGCGACCTAGGTTTACTTTAGTATCATATCGCAGAGTTAGACAGCCAACTGGAGAGAGCTATCTTACCTCTTCAGAAGCTCATCGGCGTCTTCATCCCCGTGCATTCGCAAAAGGTGTTGACGGAAGTTATCCAGTCGAGGCCATCTCTTATGTCTCCGGGGACAATTGCGTCCAAAACACAAATATAGGATCTTAGGTCCACGTTCCGGCTCTTGTTTATGGACGCATTTCTTGTGTCGCGCTAGGTCGTTGATGGTTCCGAAGCCCTGCTTCCGGCTACAGTTGGGTTGATCGCATTTGTACAGCTTCCGATGCCTTGCCTCGTGTTTCCTATGCCCGTCAGTCTCAGCATGGTCTGCACGGCGCGTGGCAGTTGAACACAAACCTTTTGTCGGATGGACATTTGCCTTTCCAGTTGCACTCGGGATAATCACATTTAATCTCATAATCGCAAGGCGCACTGTGTTGTTCGGTCTTCTCCGCGACCTCGCCATAGGCGGATGGCCCCAGATCGAAGGTCGACGTTCTATCGTCCAGCTCATACTCATGTGGTCCCAAATGAGGACTGCAAGCCGAGTCCACCGCAAAGGAAGATGCAGCTATCGAGCGCGTGGTACAGCTTCGACTCCCGTATCCTGAATCACCCGACGCAAGCCCGTTGTACTGGCTATCATTTTCTGAGTGGGTGCTGTATTGTCCAGTGGAGCACCGGCGGTCAATGTAGTCATTGATCTGGTAGGGCTTTCCCAAGGGCTGCAGATTGAAAGGCGATGTGTTGAGAGGGACTCCAGTCACCTGGAGTGGATTCCAAGCATCCTGATGATTGAACAACTGAGGTGTATGGTACTGGTAGTACTCCAAGGAGTTCGGAGCCGGGGACAACGACGAGGGCGACGGGTGATTGCTGCCGCATGGAAGCCAAGGGTGGAGGATGGATGAATGTTCATGAGGGAGAACAGCCGGGTCGGAGCCGAATTGAATACCAAGGAAAGAGGCCGGGTCGCCTAACGCGACGTGAGAGGAAGCTGTCGACCCGTCTGTCGGGTGATCGCCAGGCGAAGCATTTGACATTATCCGAGTCCCCATGATGCCCTGGAGGACATCATTGGAATTGTCCCATTTGAGGTTACCAGCATTTGAGTCCTGGGCATCATTTGATATACAGTCAGCTTGTCCTGTTCATTTTCTTTTCGTTATATGTTCTCGTCGCATTGAGAGGTCAAATGGCTCGTTCACAAAGAGGGTATGGATAACTACATACACTCATAGCTGCGAAGGAGGAACAGAACCGCCCTATCGGCGATATGGGCCGAGCGACGAGGTTCAAAAAGTCGACCCACTCAAGCTGACAGTCTGGAGAACCGTGTCACGCTGGGACTTAGCGAGAGTTCATATAGGTAGTAGAAAGTGGAGCATATGGAGACCGAGAGCTGGAGAATACAAATGCAGGGGTTCAACCAGACTGCGCTATTTCTTGCCCTTCTCGAAATGATAATCTGAGCTAACGACAGGGGAGAATTGGCACGGACTAGTAGAATAGATGAAAAGAAAATAGAAGTGCCTAGATACTGTAGTCAGGTATCGTTGTCGGTGTGGGTCAGGATGGATATAGAAGCAGTATCTGTTAAAGGCTTACAGTCAAGCTACTTAGCAAGAACGAGCAGCAAGGGAAAAAGAGGGTAGACTGACGACCGCAATAAGTCAGAAATCGAGAGGGACAGGAGGATAGTTGAATCAGTCTTGGGCTGAATTGATCGATGTGGCTCCCAGGAAAAAGAAACGTGATGGTTGATGCAGGCGAATGTCACTGAGCAACACGGATTGGGAGGCAAGGGGAGGGTGAAAGAGGACCCCACGCGATTAGATTATCAAGAGAGGAAAAGTAAGTGATGGAGAGAGAAGGTCAGAAGAAAACCAGATGGAAGACCATTAATGCTTTAAAGAAGGCTGCAAGACTCGGTGTTTAAGATGTGTCTAAAAAGGTAGAGAACAACAACAGCAGCAGCAGCAGCAGCAGCAAGCACACCGAATAATGCTTGTAACCCTGCAGCGATGCTAATGCTGTATGGATCAGAGAACTCCACGAAAAAATGGGCTACAGCAAGTCTCAATCTGCAGAACAGAGAGAAAATCAGTCGGGATTCAAGAATGATGAATTGAGATGGTCAACCTCCTCCCTGTCATTTCCCACATGGTCGAGGTATTATTTAGCTACAAAAGAGGCACGACGTTGTGCCAGGAATGATGGAATGTCTGTGTCCTTTTTCGCAGAAATAATAATCCCACTGAGGTTCAATTCACTTCGAATAAAAGACATTCCAGGATCAGGACTTCCACATAAACTTCGTCATCCGCATTCCTTTCCTCGCAGTTCAAGACTCCTCAGAGTACATCGTTATCGACTGCTGCTTACAGCCGCGAGAGAACGCGTGTGCCCTAGCTATGTAAGGCTCTGGGTTGGAACGAGAGATCAACAACGCCTACTCCCAACATGTCAAAAGATTGAAGAATATTAACATGTTAATGGCCAGTGCTCCCTACATACATGCTCCACGGAAATTGAAGAGTATCTCATGCAAATGCCAAGAAATAAAAAGAAAAGAAAAGCTACAAATGAGTTGAAAAGTCGACCACACCAGTTGGCCTAATAGTGGCAGTGCCTGTAAGGGCTTGCATAGACTTTCTATTGTTGGCATGATCATCGTCATTATTCATGCAGAGGACAAATAGAGAGAATCCACAGGGTTGTCCAGAAGATAGACCTAGAAGAAACAGGTAGTAATAATAATGACGATATCCATACTTACGTGGGAACATTTGGATACTATCTATCTGTTTCTCCCTTTTCCCTTGCAATTCTGGACGCTTTTTAAAACATCCCTCGCAGATGGGAGACTATCTAGATAGTCACCGATTGTTGGGGGGAGGGGTGGGTGTCTACAGAGTAGTGTATCTCAAACGCAGCCTCAGATTTTCCGGGGCCTCTTTTGACTCGTCATACCTCAATTCTCGACTTGCATTCATCCCTAACAGTAACAGGCTTTCAACCGGCTCACAACCCGATGTAGCAAAGAGGTATGGGAACTTGGATCCTTCTGGATCCTCACCAGTACATCCCACAAGTAAAAAAGAGATACTAGAAATTTTCAAGGAGAGAAGCTGGTGGTATATATACATCGATCACGCTGTTCAGATCATTCAAGAGAAGACAATCACCGTACTGTTCCAGGGCCGTTTCCATCAATACTCATGGATCTCATCAACAACGGAAAGACGATAGAGAACGCAATCCCACTAACATAAATGAGCCCCCTTGCCTGAATACGGTCGAATGTTAACAATGGTACGGTCGGGGTATCATGCACCAAAAAAGGGAAAAGGAGAGAGAGAAGAGAAAAGACAAGAAAGAGGGAACCACAGGCTGAAAGTCAAAAATCCAAGGTGCGAAATTCAAATCCAGCACAGCGGATGGTGGCTTAAAATTGGTGGGAATAACCCACGGAGCCGTCGTATGAATACGATGTGGCTTGCGTGATCTGGTCATGATAGGCCTGGCCGTTCTCTACCGGAGGGGGCGACAGATGCAGTGTGCCCTGGGGATCATACGTCGTGCGCATCTCCGTGGGTGAGGTGCAAAGCTGGTACGGATTCTGCAACACGCTCAGCTCTTGAGTCGGTATTCTGGGTCGCGGCCCGGCGTTCAGCAGTGGCGGGTAGGTGACAGAGTTCTGATGAACATGCACGAATTGCTGCCCCGCGAGGCCCGCTTGCGACCCGTATGCGCTGTACGCCTCTGGTTCAGCGGATAGAAACCCTTGATGCAGGGTTGTGGAGGTCGGTGGGTAGGTTGGATTCAAAAATCCAGCAGGGGGCGCGGATTGCCCGGCTTTGAAATTCAATGGCGCCTCCGGCTCGACTTTGATGCTATTCAGATCAGGTGAAAAGCTGGTGGCTTCCTGTGCAATCGAGCCAGGGTAACTGACTGCTTTCGGGGCAACGCCAGCATCTGTGTTGGAAGACAGATCTCGCTCTTGCACTAGTGCCAGGACAGGCATGGCAATCTGCTCCATGTGCTTGGCCAGATGAACGGTAAGTTTTTTCCAGCTGTTGCAGACGTTACCGCAGAAGCGGCAGGGTTCCTCCCGCGGTCCCTTGGAGGTATCATGATGACACTGGTCCACGAACTCCCACAGCTGCTCAGCGTCTCGCTCACGACTGCTTTCTTCCTGTGTTTCAGATGTGGCGCCCACTCCTTTCGTCTTCGTCTTCTTGATCTTGGGCTCGGGCATCTTATGCTCTCGGACGAGATGCTGTACGAAATTGTCCTTGCGGTAACATGTATGATGGCAATCATGAACAGTGCAAGTCCACCATTCAAGTTTCCTGTGCCGTTCACTCTCATGCCTAACCCAGTCCGCCTTTCGCTTGAACGACTTGGGCTCGTTGCAATGCGGAAATGTGCAAGTAAAAGGCTGCACGTCTTCGTGGACATGCTTCGTCCAATCGGATGGCTTCTGGAACCTTTTCACCTTGAAACATATGGGACACTCGAATTCGGCCGGAAGGCGCTTCACAGGCGGTAATGGGACGCCTGGGGAAACTGCGCCGCTGTTACAGCATTCTCTCCAAGCGCGGGAGGTTCATCATCCAGTCCGCTGTGCCCGGTGATCTGGAACTGGGTATGTGTAGCTTCGGAGTCATGAGGTCCAGCGCGCGCGGCCAGTATCACGGCTTCACCGCCCTGTGCGAAGCAGAATTTACCCGCGGAGCAGGTTTTCTTACTGACGGCATGCGTATGGTTCATTTTCTGCTCAACCAACTTCTTATATCTGCGAACCTGCTCGTTCGCGAGACGATCGATCAGTGCAGGCTCCAGACGAGGATTCAGCTGTGTGATCTGAGCCTTGAACCCTTCCGTTGTAGGCACAGGCAAACGGATGAGAACCGGAAAATTCATCACCTGCCCTTTTTCGGCCGTATCGTCGTCCTCCTCTTCATCATCTCCAGTCTCAACAGGCCGGCTTGACGCCCCCTGTTGGAGACCATGATTGTCAGTTGTCAAAGTTTGTGAGTGGCCAATGGTGGGAACGGGCGGGCCACCGTGACTGGTCATCAAGTCGAATAGACCCGGTGCAGAAGACCGCGGTATCTCACTCCGACTGCGCGTCCGCCCAAACTTGTTCCATGGATTAGACGTTGAGTGTGGAGAAGCGGTACTCAGGGAGTCTCTGCCTCCAATAGCCGCCATTTGGCCGGCAATTGCAATGACAGCGCCGCCTGTACTAAGGCTGGGAGACTTTGGGCTTCGCACAAGGCTGAGTTTCCGGTGAGGAAAACTATCCTTTCTCGATGGCGGACTTTTCACCACATTGTTCGTGGTTTGGTTTTCAACGAGGGACAGGTCTGATAGCGGCCTCTTTAGTACACTGATCGATGGTTTCCGTGGGAAGAACTTCATCAAGCTACTCCGCCTTGCGTGTTTTTTGCTCGAGTCCTGGCTGATAGACAGATTGGCAAATGAACCTCCCGCACCAATAATACTATTCACTTCCATTTCACTCATGGGCCGCGTACCCCAAGTTGCATAACGGGACATGGCATCTATTTCTCGAGCGCGTCGTTGGTATTCCATCATAGCGGCGCTGGCGGTTGATGGCTGCATCCGAACTGATCTGGGAGTAGAGTCGTGATCCGGGTCCATCCATGGGTGAGTTGCCAGAAATTGATGTGGTGCCGGCTCTCCATCCGCGGAGTTGGGCTTTTCCTGCACGGGCGAATCTGCAAGATCTTCTTGAGCCCACCTTGCTTCGTTGACGCTGGCTGCGGGCGATCCCGAATCGCTTGCTTCGACCTCGGAATCATTGCCACTGAGCTCCTCGTCGCTGCTCTCATGGATTAACGCACCGGGCCCAGGGATGGCCGGCCCGTAGTTTCCAAATTGCAGGTTGAAGTAGTCCTGCTGTAGCGCAGGGTCTCCGGCGCTCCTCGCCCTGCGTCGTGTGCCCACTGGTACTCTGCGGCCGCGGGTATGAGGGCTGTCTTCTCCATCTTCACTACTGACGACGCTTACAGTGGCGGACCATGACCGAATATCCGCGTTCTTCTCTTCAAGGCGTCGCCGTGACTCTATTTCATTGGGACTGAGAATATACGTATCGTCACGTGATGTAGGGGCGACACCGGCCTGGCCAGTGGTGCCATCCGCAAGCCAGGAACCATCGTGCGCACGTGCGATCGCTTGTTGAGATTTCTGCCATGAGGTATTGTGAACGCCATCCTCTGATTCTCCGCCAGGCAAAAGGTGTGTGGAAGACTGGCTCGGCTGCCGTCGGACGGAAACTGTCTCTCTGGCTGGGGAATCTCCGCGCGAATAGCTTTCGACCGTAACAATTGGGCTTCTTGCTCTGGCAGCATCTGAGGAGAGATGAACATTGAGGTTGTTGTCCAAGGGAGCCGTGACTATGGTGAGCACCTGCCCCGAATGCGATTGGGATTCATTGTTTCGTCGATTGGTCGAGCCGGACGCAGGACTCGGGTGGTTAGTCCGGTCCGGGGTTAGGAGCTGTGAGCTGATCATGGTTGGCTGAGAGAGGGCTGCCGATCCTGAGTCCACGGATGGTGACCCATCAGGTACAGCCATGTTAGATGAACTCACATCATGTGGCCATGCATCGAGATATGAGTGCAATTCCATACTTATGCTTCCCGGCGGTTGATCGCCGTTTGGGGAAGCATGGGCACTCAGGTCACTTGAAAAGTCGTCGACGGGACTCAAAAAATCAGAATAAGAGGTCGGGTAACCAGCTGTTTCAGCACCTTGCGCAGAATCGCTGTTCATATTGTGGTTGTAAGGAGAGGTCGAGACCTCACGCAGGTCGTGCCGACCAGGCTCTGGGGTCCATCTGATACCTGAGGATTTGAAAACATCTTGCTCGGGGTCCAACGGAGCGGAGAGATAGGGATCTGAGAAATTTGCGTTTGGAAACCCCATGTCGGTCGGGGATTCGCTACGGACCAGCTGGGGAGATAGCGTCGACATGATTGCGGTGCTAGAATGTGCTTTGCAGACCTTGCTCGCTTCCAGGCTGATCATAAAGCCAACAAGATCAGAGATGACGCTCTCCGGAAAGCATATCTCTGCGTTTATTGAAAGTCAACTTCAATGGTCATTGAAATGACGACGCTGGAAGTAATAAGAGTCAAGAGTACCTTATACAACGAGAAATGAGCAGGATCGGGAGCTGCCCTTTCGATTCAGTAGCAAGAGTATTACAGGAACAGCCACTTCAATAGATAAAATTGTAAGAATTGTAGTGCTGTAGGTCAGATAAGTTGCGAGTGTGCTCAGGTCAACCAAAGCAGGACCGGACTATCAGTGAAGACGACAATGCGGGAAAGCAAAGAATGAGTAAAAGTCAAGCAGAGAAGAAGAAGTGAGTGGAGTCATGAAAGGGAAAGAAGAATGAAGCTAGAGGGGGCAGAGAGAGTCAAGTCACACTCTGTGCCTGGAAGAGGCTCTGCTCAGCTCAGCTGCCACAGCCGGGGGGGAAACAAAGTGGGTGGAGGGGGCAAGTCGGAAGGTGAGTAGATCGAGGATTACAAGTAAAACAAGGGAATAATAAGGCAGGCAAGAAAGAAGAGAGACACAGAGGCTAGATGGATCACATAATAATAATTATAACTAGTAACTAACTTGGATATTACCCTGGTCCATAGTATTATTACTCATTGTTGTAGCCACACTTTTCCCTGGTGAGGAGGAAAGCCTTGCGAATTGCGGCTGAGAAGGGGGAAATGCTGGACAACTGAGCCACAGTTGGACTGGCACACAGGTATTTGGGGCAAAGTAGAGAGGAACCTAACCTCTCAAGTGATTTATAATTAGCGGTTTTGTCGCATGTAAATAGCCACTGGGACAATACGACGAAGAAGCCAGAACCATATTAATCCCTGCCGGTCTTTGTACCTGTTTACTCCATTGCGAGAAGACAGATGGCGCCGGCGTCAGACATTCGGCGCATCGTCAGCCAGTAAGAGCAAAGCGGGGTTTGACTATCAGCTATGAGATAAGTGGATATCTTAGATTAGGTCCTCTGATCCTCTGTCGGGGTAACAGAAGGAATATTTTATTTTGGGCGCATTTGAGTGTCATCGAAGGGTTGGACTGTTCATTATTCTGCCTTGTATCATATGCAGGATGCTTATAATATGCAGAATTGCAGATACTTGCAAGAGTATATATGCGGTGGAGGGGTGTCTAATCCTTACGACTATCCTCTCTCCAAGTAATGTGCACGGCCCGGAAGGTACGAACAGGAAGGGGGCCGGTGATCTTAGGCTCTAACTACTAGTAGCCGGTCCGACTGCTTGAACTGCATCTTGCTGATCGATATTTCATTCTGTGTATTTAGTAGATAGAACTAGACTAAACCCATGGAACGATCCTCCGTTGCCATCAAGGCTCAAGGCGGGAAAACTCCTGGGTCTATCGTACTACGTACCCATGGGTCAGCAACATCCTTATTTCCTCCACCGAGGCAAACAAGGATGACCTAGAGCAGACAGAGAAGTTTATCAACCACAGAGGCAATCATGAAACAGGGCCCCCATATTGCTGCTCCCTGAAACTACTAGTCCTACTGCATGAGCTACTTTTCATGGATTGATACTCTACCTAGCAGAGTACGGAGTATCTACCGACCTACCTATTTATAACCTAAAAGGTAGATAGTAGTACTAAGGCAGAGCTAGTCGGTCAGCTTCCCCAGCCACAGTTGTCTACCCACCAATCAAATACAAATCTTGGACAAGACAACCGGTATTCCGTTTACAGGCCTAGGTATGAATACTATCGCCAGTCAGCCCTGCCTGAGGCTGTGCAATAACGTGCCTCCATATTTCTCCATCGACATCACTTTCTCCCCTCTAAGCCTCGTTTCACCAACTTCAAAGAAGAAGAATGTTCCTCATCATGCAGTAGACACTGACCAAGCCCCAAATTCGCGTTCTATGATGTCAATTGTCATCCAGGAACCTTTGCAATCGATCGAGCCAATGCTCCCATAGTCTGACCCTCGATCGAGCTACGCATAGACAACTGAAGCTGCAAGCAACCATTGAAGTCAAAACAAGCTTTTTATGCTCTGAGACAAGTAATCAGACCCTTCTTGTCTAGATGTTCCACCATTAATCGGCTCTGAGCCTCTGACATCACAATGGGTGGCGGTGCTGAGCGCTCAACCAACGACCACCTCCTACTATATTCCGGGCAATAGTACGATTTACTCGGCTGAGACGCTTAGAGTAGCCCTGGAATCTGAGCAGAATGAAGAGCCAGTGATAGGTATTTACAAAATTGGATGTCATTTTGAAACCCTATACAGCGTGATAGACAAGGCAGCTTTTCTGACAATAGTATAAATAAACATTCACCGCTAAAAGCCATGTGTACATCTCCCAGAACGAAGAACAACCAAGCTCATAGATATCATCATAAAAAAAGGCCTGCTGCTCCGCAGGCTGTCAGGCATATCTGAATCCACGGAAACAGCGTAGTTACAAAGTTGAGTTAAGACATGAGGGTGGATATACCCGAAATGGTCAAAAAGTGAAGGAGAACAAACAAAATACAAGAAATAGAGAAGGTATAGAAATGCAGAGTCTCCATAAGCCAAGAGACAAGGAAAGTCAGAAGAGATTGAAACATAATGATGGTCCGAACAAAGGGAATTAAAACGAAGGAAGGTCGAGGAGAACTAAAGCTCCAGTAAACCACAGAAATAGTGTTCAAGCGAAGAATAAAGCCAGAAACAGAAGAAAATAAAATAAAATCGCCCCAAGAAAAGATCATCAGATACAAAAACAAATTTCTCTATCCGTAGCATCGACTCGAATACCTTGATATGAGCAATTATCAGTGAGCAATGACTTCCACCGAGCGGAGTGATCCTCTTGAGCCACGACGCGGCGAATCCTCTCCGCTGGCCAGGGTTTCGGTCGACTTCTTAGCAAGTTCCTGAAGACGCGCCATCACGACAGGCGAGTCAGAGTACAAGACAGTTCCCCTTGAATACGTGCAAGGACTAGCCTTTTCCTCATCCTCGGCGAAATCCTCGTGTGCAGCCTCCCGGGTAATCTGGGGGAAAGTCCGCAAGATGACATGTCGGCTGGGGTCATTCCCGGAACTGACGCTGCCCTCTTTCGGGGCCAGGTATTCGTCCCAGCTGTCATTAGAAACACCTTCCGCATCTGGAGCTGGAAGGCTAGCTATTATCAGTTCTCGTTCGACACGAGCGAGCCTCCAGGTCTCCGCCGCGAGTTTGACGATCTTGCGCACGCCGATGAGCAGGGAATCGAGATGTCGTGGGTCGGCAAAGTGTTTGATAAGATCGATGATTTCATCGACAATCACCGCAGCCACGACGTTGATCGACTGCTTCGCATCCGACGTGGTATACGCTGCCTTCAGTGTCTGTTGTCTCCAGAATGCTTCCCGTCTGACGGACTTGCGGCGAATGTCCATCGAAAGCATCTGGAAGAAAGTATCCGCTTTGTCGTATCGCCTGCCCAGAGTGAACAAGAACGGCTGGAAGATCCGGTAGGTCAAAGTTTTCGAGATGACATGCTGTACATATGCCGAACGCAGTTCCCGCGATGCTGGCGTATTATCAAGGAACGACGGGAGCTCCGGAGGAATCTTAGACAAGATGTCCTTGGGAGGATCAATCGGGAGGTACGTGAAATGCTCCTTGGACAAGGAAACGATAAGACGAGAGAGTTGGTCGAAACAGTCCAAACTAGATTTGAGATTCTTATCAGAACAGGTACATTTATAGCGTTACCGACATCTCATCGTGATCATTCTATAGACGAAACAATAGAGACAAAGGAAGTGTCAAGAGACATGTATATGCGCTGAAAAGAAATCGACAAAGGAAAGAAAAGAAGAAACATAAAAGAGCGTAGTTTCAGTCTGGCCACAAGAAGAAGAAAGAGAGGGAGAAACGGAGATGAAAAGAGAGAATATAGAGAGAAAGGAAAAATCAATAGGTGAAATGACAGTCTGGCGCTGATGAGATGATGTCTCAATGCAGTAGGTCACTTACAAGAATGAGTCTCCCTTGGTGCTCTTGAGGTCAGTTGCTTCTCCAAGACTGTGGAGTGTTTTCCTCAGCCTGTCACAATCCTTGCCCAAATTGTCGATTGTGGTGCGCATCCCCTCAACTGCACGTTCAAGCTGTTGCTCCTTGAGCAAGTTATCTTCCTCCAGCTTCTTGTTCTCGCGCTCGCAGTTGGCCAGCTCTTCACACTTGGCGGAAATCCGAGCCTCCAACTCGGTGCGTTCTTCAGTCCACTGCTGTTCCTTTTCATCCAGCTCCTTCTGCTTCTCATCTAGTGCGTTCTTTGTGGAGTTTAATTCGGTCTGAGTCGACTCCAACTCCGCAACCTTGGCATCAAGCTCGGTCTTGGTCGACTCCAATGCCGTGACTTTGGAGCCAAGCTCCTCCTTTGTGGAGGCCAGTTCGGCTTCCTTCGATTCCAATTCAGTCACTTTAGAGTCAAATTCGGCCTGCAGGGTGTCGTGCTTTTGCTGTAATTGTTGTTTCTCCTTCTCGTATTCTGCCTTCATCGTCTCTTGCTGGTCGAGTAATTCCTTCTCCCGAGCTGCCAAAGCTTCCGCTGCCGCTTTCTCGTCTTCGGCCTTGATTTCCTCAAATAGTTCAGTCAATTCTTGCTTCTGATTTGCAAGAGCTTCCACTCTCTCCTCCTTCTGACGTTCCAATTCTTGATCGTGCGCCTCCTGCGCTTCTTTGATGTTCGTGTTCAGAGCGGCGATCTGCCCTTCCAGTTCAGACTTCGTTTGCAGGAGCTCCTGGTTGGACTTTTCCGCCGCCGCCAGGTTCTCCTCAATGTCCTTTCTCTTCTCCTCAAGGTTGCCTAGTTCCATTCTGAGTTCGTTTATGGTGTTCTTCAATTTCGTTGCTTCCTCCGCACTCTCGTTCGCTGCCTTTCTCATCTGATTCTGCAGTGCTTCGATGTAGAAATCCTTGTGCATCAATGCCTGTTCATGTTGACTTTCCATCTGCTTAAATTCAGCCTCCCGGGCTGCAAGCTTGCCTTTTGTGTTCTTGTACCCATCGAGCAAGCGGTTGATGTCCGGGATAGCCTCTTGAATTCTTTGCAGAAGTTCAATAGGCTCGTCGTGCTGGTCCTGAGGGGGTGAAATGGTTCCCCTGTCATTCACACCGTGCCCATTTGGCAATCCCATATCCCGGATGGCTTGGAAGGCCGACGCATAGTGAGGATCTATTGAGCCGCGAGGAGTGGGACGCATATTTGGAGAAGGGTGGTGATAGTAAGGAGCATAATGAGGCATGTAACCAGCAGAACTCATCGCAGGTGATTGATAAGCAGTGGCATAGCTAGGAGCGATTGAGTGAGGCACGCTGGGAGCTGGCGGCGGAGGTCCGAACGGCGTAGCGTGTGGCGAAACCGCTGGAGACATGTAGGGACGAGTAAGCGGACTGCTGGCCTTTGCATGGGGAGAGGCGGGTTTCGAGGCATATCTCTGCGCGGGAGACGCTGGGTTCGCCATGACAGGCGAGGCGCCTCTATAGTGAGAAGATGCAGACTGTGGAATGGGCGAAGATGGCTTTGATGCAGGCGATGCTGTATGAAACGTAGGAGAGGCAGGTTGATTTACAGGAGATGCACTATGTAACGCAGCGGATGCCGCCTCTGAGGCAGGAGAGGCAGTCTGGGAAACAGACGAAAACGCCGGCGGTTCGGAAGATGCTGCTACAGGTGCAGGAAATGGCGGCCGCGAGGACGAAGCTGGGTCCGGTGCTCGCGAAATGGCTTGGTCCGCAGGTGGAGTAAGCTCTTGTTGAGAATTTGGGAGATCGACTTCAGCTTCGGCTTCGGCTTCTGAGGAAGGATTGGGCGCTGGGGAAGCAGCATTCGAGCGAGGAGACGCCGCTACGTACTCAGTTTCTGTCAGAGACGGCGATGGTAGCGGACAAGCTGCTGCTGCTTCTGGAAACATGGGAGTCTGAGGTGCCGTGACTGGGGTTGGCTCTGGGGGGGCGGCAGCGTCACTCTGGCCACTCAGACCATGGTTAGGCTCAGGATTCGTCTCAACAGCCTCTGTGTCTGTCGGAGGGTCCGGTGCCGCTAATTCCTCTAGAATGGACTCGTGAGTCGCTTCAAAAATGTTCTGCACATCGTTCAATGTCTGCGGCTGACTCGATATATCGTCTTGGTCCAGGTTCGTCGATGGTTGAGGATCTTCCCAATTTCCAGGCACAGCCGAGGCTGTCGCTGCAACAGGTTGAGGGTGCTCCAGTTCTGGTACTTGTTCCGGGGCCTGTCCGTGTTCGGGGGCAGGTTCCGGGAGAGACTGTAGAGGAACGTTTGATTCAAGTCCTTGACTTTCAGCAGGTTGAGGTCCGGCTCCAACCTCTGCTTGTAGTTGTTGATCTTCTTGATCAAAAGGAGGTTCGCTGTCGACCTCCGGCTGCGGCTGTTGGTCTTGCTGCTCGGCGGAAGGGGTCTCAGATGGGTTGTCAGACGCTTCTTGGGTCTTCCCCTTCTTATTCTTCTGCTTGCCCCGGGTTTGCCTTTGCCCTTCTTGCCCGACCCTGCCATTGTGGTAGAGTGAGGCGTGGCCGAGTGCTAACTGTAGAAGAAGACGTGTCCCCAGTAGGTTGATTTCTGATGAAGTAGCGATAATTGTGTCAGCAGATACTCGATTGGGTTTGCTGCTGCTTCAGAACTGTACATTTGCAAGCGCGCTCGACGGGGACTTAAGATATACACTGACTTGATATGGATACAGAAAGCTATAGGTCAGAAGTGATCAATCAGAAGGAGGAAGGCGAGTGATCAACGATCAGGCGATGATGGAAGGGATGTGAAAATAAGCATGCATTCGGGGGAAAGAGTGATGAATTCCTAGGCGCAGTAAAGGCGCGCGGTGGGCACAAATAGTTGGGCCACACGAAGACAGTATCACACGGTGTCAGGAGTCTGCTCTGCAAGCAAGCAGACTATTTTGGAAACCGAGCCTGACGCCGACTGCGCTGTGTTTGGAGCAATGCGTGGGACAAGATATTAATGAGGGAGAATCCAGAGAGCAGAACAAGCCAGGTAATAACCCTATCTTGAACCAAGCCCAAAACGACGCTGTTACACACGAGAATGATCTCCACCAGCCTCTCTGGGGCTGGGCGAGGCAGAAAGCGGACCGAACCTTAGTCCATACCAATCAGTACCCATGAGTCGTTCGAGTCACACCACAGTGCTGGTAGTTAGGCGACCTTAACACTCCGGGTCTTGGGTGCTAAAGCGGTAATTGTAAAGAATGGGTCCGAAGCCGTCGGTTCCCGACCTGCATGGCCGAACGATCTTGGTAAACTGAAGTGGGTTGGGCATCAAAATGAGACTGCATCTTCCGGGGTGGCAGGATCAATCATGAGCTAGAATGGCAACTCGGAAGGCTGCAACTTGAACCGATTGAGGGAAAAAATAAATTGTCAAAGCTCACACGCGACACACGATCAAGTTGGATTCTGTCCTTGGGTGCTTCATTTTCCCATGGTGAAACTGCAGGCATGCGTGTCCTGCAAGTAGCTGCCTGTATTCGAGAGACCAAAGAGGCAGGGAAAAAGGATGTGGGGTTTCCACGCTAGAGACAACTGGAGGATGGAGATCGATGACATGTCCCCTTTGATATCCAGACGTTTTGAAGCCTCTCTTATTGGCAACAGGGAAGAGCCCAATAACAATGGGCCCAATGGGAGCAGTGGGGAGCGCCAGTTGAATGTGAGGCAGTTAGTTACTCGGTTAGCATTTCAAAGCAAAGCAGTGACGATCCAGCAGTCTAGTTTAGCAGCCACCTGTAGTGCGGTGTGTGTTGCAGAGCAGCCATTGTGAATCTGACAACGCAGAGACCCGCCTTTTTGATGTGTATGGAGCAGGAGCCAGGATGATAGGTTCGAACCTTGAAGCTAGAACGACCCCGAAGCATAGCCCGAATAAAATAGTTCACTTCAGCATGTGTTGGTGCGTGTGAAATTGCAACCTGCTTTTTCTGCTAGACAGCCGTGAGCACATTCAGGCGGTCGAGGTGGCTGGGCTTGCATGACCGTTGATTGGAACGATGAAGAAGACAGAAATACGCTTTGAGCCTTTGTTCATCAGTAGTTGGGTCTGAGGAGTTATGAGTTGTAGTTGTTCTCTTGTACTAGCGTCCTCTGATTATTCATGCCCAACTACTCTGAAGTGGTGATGACAACTATCTAGGCTATTGAAAACAATCATTTCATGCCAGATAGGTTTAGCTCTAGGGCCCAAGATTAGGGCACCAGACTCCAGCTTTATGAGAGGAACAACAGCAGAAGGAGACTGGAGCAATAAGCGGTACTAAGTGAAGAGGCCAAACTTCCTGGTTAATACTGGCTATGCGATCTTGATTGAGAATATTTGAATGCATTCCGCTTGCTCGCAGATGACTGGATAGAAATGCAGCCAAAAGGTCAAAAAATGGTCCCTACGAGGGTCGAACTCGCGACCTTGGCGTTATTAGCACCACGCTCTAACCGACTGAGCTAAAGGACCAGATTGATGTACAGAAGCAGCCAGTTATACTATGTAAGCTTTTTTCGAGAGGAGGAAGAGGAGAAACTGTAAGAATGGCTCTGGCCAGAAGGGGGCTCGGCTTGAGTCTGACCGAGCTGCTGCGAGTCTGAGGCGACATGGATTTTGTAAACATCTTGTCATAGAGGCCAGTGCACCAACCGGGGAGGTCGATGGATATGTCCTGAGGTATGGGCCTTCTCCTGATCACGTCTGCATGCCTACTATTCGTGCGATGGTTGAACTTGACAGTTTCCAGTGTACATCCATCCAGATAGCGACGGAGATGGACATCACTGACGTCGTTGTGACCAATCTCTTCATTGATAGCGACACTGTAGGCTATTTCGACTCCACTCTAACAGATTGCCTAATATTATGGTTCTTTCGAAGTAGTTCATGACCAACAGCTCAGCGGGAGGGACTCTCCTCGGACCGTCATTGGCACAGAGTCGGTATCCAGCATTAACATGGTAACCTCAGCCATTGAGTGAAAGATTGCTAGATTAATCCACTTGAAAACTTATAGCGAACGAGTATTATTCGCATACTCCTCTTTCTCCAGTATTTGCCTAGTAGACATTGAAGATCTGGTTTGAATCAGCGAGTTATAGGTAGTTACAGGAGACTGGGTAGGTTGCGCTAAGCTTAGAAGGTAGAGTCATGTGACGTCCGGCGAACCGCCCTCACGCGGCTTTCAACCTCAAATCATCCGGCGACGGCATCATCGTCATTAATCGGCATTGCCAATTGTCTTTCTCCACAACATGTCTTTCGCCAGACAATCAGTCCCTTCGGCGCGGCAGCTGCTGCGCAATCAGCAGCCCCGTCGCTTTGCCTCTCATGCCGCTCATGCCGAGCCTGTGAACGAGAGCTTCGGCGTACGTTCGATCTCCCCCACGACAGAAATCGTCCTCGTCACTGACTGCAACTCTTTTTATCTTTACAGCGCAGTTTCTATGTTACCATTGGTGCATTTGCCTCCGCCTACGTTCTTTACCGCCTGAGCAAGTCCACTGAGGAATCGGGCTCGCAATCGTGGATCTCCAACCTCATCCAAAAGTGGACGCCTTCGGAGAAGCTGTTTGAGGAGAGGAACGCCATTCACACGGCACTTATGGAGAAGGCCGCTCAGGATCGCCATCTGCTTCAGTCTCAGGGCCCTAGAGCCACTTTCGAATTAAAGCAGCCCGAGTACGTTTCATATGAGCTCCCTATATCCGGCCCAAAGCACGAGCTAACGTATGGATTTTTGCGTTTTCTAGAGTCAGCTTCAATACCTCTCCTCCTTACAATGTCCCTGCTGGTTCATCCGTGGACCTGAGTGCTGTCGTTGCTCATTACGAGCAGCAGAACAAGCAGATGGAAGAGGCCCGCGTCGCTCGTATGAAGGACGGCAAGGTTGTATCTCTATATGACTAGACAAAATTGAGTCTTACTTCAAGATCTTTTCAGAGCAATGTCAGTGGCAGGCATACACTAAGGGGGCGTGTTGTACATATTACAGATTCATTTATGGTAGCCCCGTCAACGGTCCATTTTACCGTTTCATTAACCAGTCTCGTTTTATCGCCGTTTACGATGGAAAAGCCGGTCGATATTGCCTGGTAGCTCTTATGTTCATGCTTATATATATGCCTCATCCCAATGCAGTGATTATGTACTCCTGAGCGCAACCTTCAATATCACTCGACCGACACCTTCCGAGTTGATATTCACCTGTTCCTCCACATCCAGGTCATTACCATTGACATTTTTCAACACCATCAGAAACTCGTCTACTCCACCTCCCACGCCGAAATAGACCTTCTTCGCCGCTATGAGGGCTTTGCTCCGCTCTTGTTCGGTTTCAGACCGGCGAAGCAAGGCAATCAAGGTCTCGGAGAAGGGCGCAAGAGATGCCGGAGAGTATATCGTCTCGCTCGCAAGAATCAATGTCTTGCCTTTGTCCTGCCCGTAACTGGAGAATACCAAGTCAACAAAGGCGGGAGACCAGGCACCGGAAATGAAATCGAAGGTGATCTTCTTGCTTGCGAGATCTTTCTGAAAGCTCTCCAGGAGCTCAGGCGTGATATCTAGTTCTTCTTCATCCGGCTGGTCCCCGGACGAAGTTGCCTCCGTCGAAGGCGGCTCCCTAGGCGTGACTATGTAGTTCCAAGTCAAAAGCAGATTCGGAAGCGTGACTAGGCGGAGGACGGCAGAATTGTAATCTGCGAATGTGAAATGGATCTTGTTCGTCGCTGCGTCTGGTCGACGCAGTGCTTGCGCGAAGAGAGTCAGTGACGGTACCGCAGTCCCAGCACCGAGCTACTTTTTCCCGTCAGCTTCCATCCGAGCAATAATTGCATACTGAAGTAGGATGAAATGGAGAGCTACGGACCTCAATAATGTACTGATCCGCATCCTGATGAGATAGATCTTCACTAGCAACCAATTTGGCAAGGTCCACCGCACACTCCCATGTCTTGAAGCCACCTTCGTAGAAATTGGGCTTGATATCTCCCTTCTCGAGCCCAGAGATAAGTTCCTCATTCTCATGGTCTGCGCTGTCTTCGGCCATGAGCTGAGTCCGAATGTCGAAGACTTCTCGACGTGCAAGGGTGAACGTCTTCTCATCTCCATGAGATGCATTTATTACGAGCTTGTTGTATGATATTTGTGATGGCAATGTAGAGATCTAGAACATGGTTAGATTGAGCATATATGGCCGATCATAAATTATCCTTCGCTGTCTTCTATTCCTCTCTCCCTCTTCATCTCATCCGTCGCCTTCAAGCGCGATCTGTCTGTAGCTACCCGACTACCTAAAGGCATCCCGCAGAGTGAGCATAGAACTTACCCATTCTGCCATATCATGTTTCTGAGGCTCCATTAATCTTCCAGTGAGCTGGTTGCTGGCATGCTCCACAGTATTCATATCTCTCTCATCAGCACCATTGAGATCGTTCTCGTCAATGTCGATGTCATCCCCAGAGAAACCGAAGCTGAACGCCGATGTCATTGCGCGCTTATAGAATTATTTCTTTGCTTCTAAGCAAGACTTGATTAATCTTGAACAAACTTATGCGACCGTTTTCTGGGAGAAGCTGATCACAATATGACAACACTTTTATGAATTCTGAATATATCAACATCTAGTTCTTGAAGGCATGATCCAAAAATTTGCTGAGGAATAAATTGATGACTAAGCGAGCCTAACATAAGTTAAGTTACTATACTTGGACTACTAGATGTGAATCGCTATTCATGACAATCTTGAACCCGTACGTAAACATGTAGTATGGTAGTCTATTACAGCTTCTCTATCCAAATGCAATATCTGTGCTAAATTCTCGCGTGGAAGCTGGAAAGTCTAGGCCCAGCCCCCAAATCGAAATTCCATTAACATGACGGTTGTCTTCGTATGTTGGGCTAAATCTATCATTTCAGCGTTATAATGTCGTCTATGTCTTGATTCACTCGCAATAACAGAAAAAAATTAAGCAGATCCGTTCTCCATCTGCTGGCTAGCGAGAACAGCCTTCTCAAGAGCCTGGAGCGTATCGGCCTTGAGATCCTCTGCATCCTCAACACCGCAACTCATGCGGACGAGGTCATCAAAGACACCAGCGGCCTCACGCTGATCCTTAGGAATGCCGGCGTGTGTCATGCTTGAAGGGACTTCGCAAAGACTCTCCACGCCGCCCAAACTCTCAGCAAGAGTAAAGACCTTGGTGTATTGGCAGAAAAGATGAGCGGCCTTCTGGCCTCCCTTGATACGGAAGCTCAGCATACCACCACCCATTCCCTGGCGGTGCTGCTTAATAGCAATGGCGCGATGGGGATGTGAGTCAAGTCCTGGGTAGTTGACAGAGATAACATGAGGCGACGCCTCAAGAGCCTTGGCGACGATTGTAGCGTTAGTCGTCGCCTCACGGGCGCGCAGATGAAGGGTCTTGAGGCCACGGTGAGCGAGCCAGCAATCGAAAGGAGATGGAACGGCCCCAATGGCATTCTGCAGGAATGTGAGACGATCCTTCAGACTGTCAGAGTTGAAGGCTGCGACGCCCATGAGAACATCCTATATCTGGTTAGTAAACTGCCTTACCGTAGACGATGCGTCACAACTTACTGAATGACCGTTGATATACTTAGTGACCGAGTGCACGACGATATCGGCTCCGTGATCCAAGGGATTCTGGACATAGGGGCTCATGAAGGTGTTGTCAACCACCACGATGATGCCATGCCGGTGCGCAACGGCTGCTACGTTGCGAATGTCGACCAAGCCAAGTGTGGGGTTGGATGGGGTCTCAATCCAGACCAGCTTGGTCTCGTCGGGTCGAATCAATGCCTCCACGTCAACTTCAATGCAAGGCGAGAATGTTACATGAACACCGTGGGCCGAGGCGACCTTTGTGAAGTATCTGTGGGTTCCGCCATACACATCGGACACCGAGACGACGTGAGAGCCTGCAGCTAGGGACTGGAGGATGGTAGCTGTAGTCGCCGAACCGGAGGAGAAGGCCAGTGCGTATTTTGCGTGTTCGAGGGCCGCAACAGCTTGCTCGAAGTTATCACTAAGAAACGTTAGCGCCTATTCATTCGCACGTTCTTCTCAATTGTGTTTCGGGGCAGTCACCTACCGGTTTGGGTTTGAGCTTCTGGTGTACTCATAGAGACCGACGGGGTTACCGACGCTGGTTTGCGCAAATGTTGTGGAAAGCGAAATCTATGTTAATGGTTAGTTCTTACCCTTCTCCATAAGTAGCGAAGGATGCAGCGCAATCGTTTGAACTCACAGGAGCAATGACGGCGCCAGTAGTGGGATCATGAGGCGATCCAGCGTGGACAGCTAAGGTGCCAAAGCGGCGTTCCTGTGCACCTTCGCCATTCTGAGCGTGGCCATTGGAAGATGCAGTCATTGTGAGCGGTCGACGACGTTAAAGACGAATTGAGGGTTTGTACAATCAGGGAGAAAAAGAAAGTGGGGAGAGAAAGAATATAGAAGGATGAAAATTTATCGATAACCGATTTATTCGATCTAGTTATCAGATATTGAAAGAAACAGTCGGAGGGGACAGTTGTATGAGATCACTCCAAAAAAAAAATCCAATAGGGCGCCGGTCCTGCGTCCTCGTGTTTATAAGAGTCAGCAACTGACAATTAATAATAACAGACGACAAATATTAGACTGGAATGTGCGACGGAGAAACACAGACACATTAATGATTATTGATTACTACAAGTAGTATTATTTTCCTTGCCCTTCGGACTCCGATTTTTTCTTTCCCATCAAGACACTCTTGGGATTTCTTTTACGTTGCACTACAAGGCTACAGGGCGGAACTTGTCTCCATCTGAACCAGACGTTCCCGGCACTAACCGAGCATGTAGATTCAATTGATAATCAGATCCAGGACAACGTGGATCTTGCAGATATCATCTAGGCTAGATAGATTATTGGGTAGGTGTGTAGCTTACTGACAGGTAGATGCATGCAGTGATGTTTTGTGCCTACAGATATTAGGTATCTCCATCCTTCGGTCTGAATAATCGTCATCACAATCTACAAATAGTAGATTAATTAGGTTAACTAGTAGTTAACTAGTTATACGCAACCCTGATGACAAATGGACATGGATACGGGAAGCTGGAACCTACAGTAATACATTCCGATGAGGTGATTTGTACTACAACTTTACCTGACATTAAGTACACACAGCACAGAGTAGTACATTTTTGCTTGGATCAAAAATCACGTCATTTCTGGACTTTTGTAATCATTTCTTGACTATCATCTCATGGTCATCATGCAAGAGGTGATACATTCAATGCTGTCCTGTCCTCTATTCTAGCAACGCCAATGATGGGAATCATTTATCATTTCCAATTCCAGCCCATTGTATCATCCGGCGCGCGTACATAAAGTCAACATAAAAAGGCAGGGGAATACCCTCACTAATCAATTCTCCCATCACCACCAGGACACAGGTCCCAAACCCGCCATTTGCATCGAGCCCTGAGTTTTTCAATTAGCCAAATTGAAGTTCATCAGAAATCGAAACGCGAGGGCGCATACTATGATGGAATAGGGAGGCTTTCGTTCAATGGTTGCGCCGTCTCCTAGATCTGGAGCATTGGGAATCTGATCATGCCATTCCTCCATCTCAACTCTGAAACGGACAATTTCTCCTATGTCGAAGTAGAATGTTGAGCCATCTTCATTTTCCCAAACCCACACCTGATCGGCAATGTCACTGTTTCCTGGTGAGCCAATGTATAGTTGCGACAGTGGGGAGAAAGACGGTTGCTTACAATCGAGCGCCGTCCAACAGAAGATCCGGGGGAATGAGAATATCATTGAAAAATTCTACACCAACTGTTCTTTGTATTAGCATGAGTATAGTGACCATGAGCTTGAGACTGTTGCATACTCTTAATCCCTTGTTGAGTAGCACTGGAGATCTTGCCTAGTAGGATTTCTCCTTTGAACGGCCGGAAGACGATGAGTCGGAATTTCACTATAGAAAATTAGTAAAGTAGTTATCTTTAGCCGGGAAATCATTCCTGACATACCGTTTACGTTGACCAAACCTGTGCCATGGCCTATTAAACCATCCGACGATTCTAACAAGTCATAGAATCCAATGCAAAGGCCAATTTTTTGAATGACCTGCACAAGCGAACCATGTCAGCCAAGGCGACTGCCACCTCGATCAGGGTGACTTCACCGTACTTTATTTGCATACTTTTCGTTAATATTGTCCTCGATTGCGACAGCGCTGTACTTGGAGAAGTCTTCAGGAGAGATCTGGATGAGATCTGAGACGGTTGTCTGCCTCGCTGCAGTCAGCTTGTCTATTCATGACAAGAAAAACTAAATTTGATCAAGGACGTCTCTCAACTGACAAGAATGAACATTTCGAATATGTTACAGGGGAACGAGATATTGCATGAGCAGTGATCACGAATGTAGTTTCTATTTCCACACAGTCGCAGAGAGGATTAGCAGCAAGACACAACTTGCATTCTAACCATGTAGGACGCTGTAACGGCCCCTCTAATTTATGTTTTCAGTAATCACAGATTCATGACATTATAAAAGTGTATTTGAGTCTGCAACAATGAGAAGTTCAAAAGATCAATCGCGAATTGCCTTGACCAATCGCATGTTGCGGATCCGGTCTGGTTGCTCTTAAATTTTTCCTCCAGTGTTTGATAGCCAGGACTTGGCACGTGACTTCTCCACTCTGCCTTAGCCGGGCTTTTACATGACAATTCGGATCTCGGAACGGAACAACAACTTTAGAAGCTTCGGTCCTAAAGAAGCGATCAGAAGTGATCGGAGGTTTTCTCAGGTCTCCGGGATGGCGTGAGAGGATGGCATCGATGCTGTCACTCATTCGAGGGCCTGCAGAGATCTTCCCGCAATGAGCTCCCAGGGATTCTCATTTCCTCCCCCTCCTCCTCCCCCTCCTTCTTCTCAGCAACAGCAGCAACCTCAGTCAGCTTTTCCGTCTGGGCCTCCACAACACGGTTACGGTTCTTATGGTCAGCGAGGTGGACGAGGCGCCGGAGGGCACAACAGAGGTCGTGGCAGAGGGTTTGGGAATCGAGGAGGTCGGGGAGGCTCCTTTGTTCCCCACCATGTCAACCATACCCCGACCTATTCCTCTACTACGCCGTCTTCTTTCGGGTATGGGTCGATAAACTATACCGGGTTTGCGCCTCAATCTCAGCCTACTGTCTCTCGCAATATTCCATCGCCACAGATTGCGTCTTTAGGGTCACCAGGTTTCCAACACCAGTCCAATACATCCTCGTACGCGTCCCCACAACACTTTTCGCAGCCGCCAGTCGTTCTCGGCTCTCCATATCAGCCACAACCTAGCTATGATGCAGCTTATGCCCCCCAAATGCGCAATCGAGTCCTCCGTACCCTTCTGTCGTGCATTCGACTCAACATACGCCTCAACCCGTACAAGCACCGATGATGAGTCCTCCAATGCGTTGGGGTTTTGAAGCGTCACCACCCACAGGAACCTTTGCTAGTCCTCGGCGTAGCAATCAATGGACGCCGCGGCAATCTAGCGCACACCAGGCCCAATCTTCCTTTGGTGGAAGCTCAATGAAATATGGCGGAAAGCGGGATCATGCGTCGGCATTTGGAGGAAAACCGCAAACAGTTGCACCTCGCGTTCCTGCACCGCCTCCGGTCCCAAGCTTCGGCAACCCTCTGCCTGTGAAACCTCCTCCAGCAGTTGATGCTGCAAATCCGAGAAAAAAGAAAAGAAAACACAACCAGTTAGGGCTTACGCCCAAAACCGAGGATCATGAATCGAGTGAGGAGGACGACGTGGATGAAGAATCCAAGTTGGCGCCTGCGACTGCCGGTGCTACAGCGCCGTTGCGATTCACCTATAAAGGACGGACGTCCACACTCCAGTCACCCACAGACATTGCCGCATGGATTGAGGAACGGAAGAAACGATTTCCGACGCAAGCAAAGGCTGAAGAGAAGAAAAAGGCCATGGAGGAGGCTAAGAAAGCCCGTGAAGAAGCTCTGAACAAGAAAAGGATTGAGAGGCAGGAGCAAAGACGAGCCCAGAAGGCCGCCAATGATAAACCGGAGAGCGTCATTGATCCGGCGCATGCGGCGGCCAAGGCGAAACGAAAGGCTGATAAGCTCCAACGCAAGTTGCTAAAGGAGCAGGAACGGGTAGCGAAAGCGGAGGCAGATGCCGAGCGGGCTCGGCTCGAAGTTGAAAGGCTGCAAAAGGTGGCCATGGAGGCGAGAAGAGGGTCAGAGTCTGCAACGCAGAAAACTGAATCTCAACCTTCCGTCGCTCCAGAAAAGGCGGACACAAAATCTGCTCAGAAAGTGGAGATACTCAGCTCCAAGGACAACGACTCGGAGACTGTGGCTGTCCCTGCCGAGAGTTCTGTCGCATCCATGGCCCCTGGGACAATGGTAACAAAGATGGAACCCGGTGACTCAGTAGAGAGTCGAAACGAGGAATCCGCCGCATCATCTTCCGACGATTCGGACAGCACTGACTGGACGTCATCAAGTGGATCTGACATATCTTCGGATTCCCACGAGAGCGATGATGATTCGGCCCCGAGGAAGTGTCTTCGCGCCGTGAGGGGCCGGAGCGGGTAGCACCACCGCCTCGAGTCAATAAGAAGAAAGTGTGTCGCCATTTCGCCCGCAATGGGCGCTGCTTGCACGGGGAGAAGTGCCATTTTCTACACGAGTTGCCGGAAAGAGGCGCTAAAACAAAACCGGTGGAGAAAAAAGGACGGAGGGGACTGTTCCAAGCAGTAAGTATCCTTGGTCTTTAGCAAAGAAGGAAAATGGCATTCTTTCGCCCATTCAAACGCTAACACGCAATTTTTACTAGCTGGTCGAACGTCAAAAGGAGGACGAGGATCGGAGAGCCATGGAGGTGATTGTATGGCTGGGAGAGAACCGATTTCTCGATGCCCCAGAGGCCGAGCCTCATACTGACGGGAACAAAGATGAGAACCGGGACTCTCAGGAGACGGAAGACACAGTTGCTGCTGTCTAGGGGCTGGAAAGGCATGTTCTATATAACATCGGCGCCTTGTACATAAAATCCGTATACGAATTAGCTTCAGAACCAAATAGAGCCCTGAGTCTTTCAGCCTGGGCACTGAAACGGTCGCAGCAAAGGACACCAGACTTGAAAGTTCACCAGATTGTAGTCTATCATCGACTATTCCTGGTCCCTAGGACATTCCCTCTCAGAGGGACGCATTCATACCACATCGCAAATGTCCCTGTTTGGAAGTAGTATTGAATGTCATAATACGGAATGCTCATACCCGTACCGTAAGGTACCTTAGCCTGGTACTTCCATTTAGATACAATAACTTATAGTAGGATGATTATTTCAGTTAAACACCTTCCTTTGTTACACAAGGTTACCTGCAACCTTAGTACCTAACAGACATTTATCTAGTTGATGTTAAGAAATACTTTTGTATGTTTCCATATTACGTTTGAAGTCACCACAGGAATTTAGGAGTAGAAGATCACTCAGATTTTGGGTTTTCGGGTGCTAGGTATCTGCTATGGGATAACCGGAGCTAAACAATCATAATTCACTCATCTACCAATCTACCTACTGTGAATCGGAGGTAAGGTATGGTTATTCTTAGCAACAAATATCAAAGTCCTCAGTTCCTCCGGTTCTCAAAAGACCCTCGGATAGATCGATCATCGATCCCATGGTTCATTGCCACCCACACATCGAGACTGATAGTCATCTAGTTACCTATCTCCTTTAGTCCTTTGCGACCTTAGCGTCAACTAGCTGGGGCCCCGACCGGGCTTTCGTCGGAATTACTGGATCCTTTCTTGACCTACTTATTTGGCTAAGCGAATGACTACGACTGACTCGGTCTAGCTGAACAAACGCCTTTTCCTAGAGAGGGAGCGACTAAGTCTGGCTGGGATTAGCCCCCTCGATGGCGTTATGCCCATTTATTCTGATTTTGCCTCTTCTATTCGGGGGGCTGTGAACTGATGGTTGATGGGACCGTCCTATTGGCTCTTCCTCGAGGCTGACTGGCTCGTGGCTTCCCCCTCCATCTAACTACTGGCGCGAAATCTCAATCCTTCCATTAGCTTACCCAGGCCCCCCAAACGAGATGAGTTGACCAGGTTGCTTGGGTGTAGCGGAAGGATAGGTAGGGTCTACTAGCCTAGCTCTTCCGGTTATTATTACTCGGTCCTATCTCCCCTTCTCCTCTTTCTTCCCTTTTTCTCCTTACTCTCCATCCAGTCGATCTTTGCATCATACTGACTTAAATCCAGTCAGAGTCCATTCCTTTCATTGAATACGTATATTCCAATTCAAAATCCCTTCGTTACAATCTTCCGGAATACTTTATCTTAGCCCCCGCTTTGCTACCTCCTTTTTGGGAATTTATATATAATAGCGTCAACAAAAGTCTATACTTTAGTCGGCATGCGTTCCATCATCTTCCTGTCTCTCAGCGCTCTCGCGGCCATCGCAGTTGCAGCTACCAAGGAGAATCCTTTCAACATCCCTGCCAACGGTTACGAGTTCACTGCTGGTGAGCCCACTACTTTGACCTGGGACCCTACCACCAGTGGAACTGTCACTCTCAAGCTTCAATGGGGCGACGTTTTCACTCCTGACTCTGGTTCAACCATTGTCTGTAAGTGTCTCGGATTGAAACGAGTCTGGAGCTCTGCGCATCTGCTAACGTACCCTAGCAAGCATTCCCAATTCCGGAAGCTACACCTGGAATGTTCCTTCTAACATCGCTTCTCAGCCCGATTACACCGTTGAGATCGTTTCCGATGAGGATACCTCCGAAACCAACTACTTGGGCCGTTTCACGATTGCAGGAGCTACAGGTGTCGCGTCGAGCACGGCTACTGCCACTGCCACTAAGACCGCCTCTACCACTAAGACCTCTACTACTACTACTAGCGGAACTCCTACCATCACCACTGTGACGTCGACCACTGCTTCCCCCTCCAGCAGCTCTTCGACCACCAGCAGCTCGTCTACAACTGAAACTTCGACTACTACCACCCGGGCTTCTCGCACGAGCGCCACTACCTCGCCTACTTCGGTCCCCAACGCCAATGGCGGTGTCATGAACCGGATCTCCGGTGGCATGATGGCGCTCGTCATGGGTGTGATTGCATTCATGTAAGCAGCATACGTTGCGAGCATTCTGGCGGCGAGTCACATCACTGCGATCGGGCTCGATACATTCGAATATATAGCTTTTGGCGTGTCCATTTCCTTTTTCCTTTGCACTTGCTTAGGCTCGAATATGGTTGGATTACCGTTCTTGGGTATCTACAGTTTGTTCCTGGCCTGGGGATGGAAAAAGGTGTAACATCCTTTTTTCGTGTCCAATTCTCTCTATTCCTTTTGGGCGATGCTTGGGGATCCACATGATCGCCTAACCTAATGGTCATTATTCGTTGTTGGGACCAAGGACTCTCGTCTGTTCGGGCACACTTTTTGTATGGTATGTAGATATGTTTACATTGTAATGAATGACTTGCTTTGGCCTGCAGGAGAATGCGAGTAAACAATGGAGTTTTGTAAATGCATCTGCATATTCTATGGTTCTAAACCTTCTGGCCGGGTCAAGGAGGCAATGAGGCTCTGCTGTAGCCGACATCTTCAGGAACTACTAGTAGTATGAGTCGAAGATAACGCGGGGAATCGGTCGATAGCCTGTTGCAATCATAAGCCCAATACATTTCAGAATCGAACCGATGGTTTGGAATGTCCGATTTTTATTTGTTTCTGTCACAGCGATACCCCATCGGATGGCTGTGGGTCTCCTAGTCGAAATGACCGTTAGCAGAGGGGACATAGTAATATGGTTCGGCAATTGCATTGCATTTACAGCCTCTAAAATTAAGAGGTCTCCTTCTGGAGTCCTCCGTATGGCAGAGCTAATCCCTAACTACCTTGGGATCTAGATTCCAGCAGACTATTATCTTTGGGCCTGTGGCATGAGCTGATTCTCTGTCAGTTATTACCTACCCACTACTCTATACGCCAACGGGCTATACGGGCTTAAAACCTCAGTATCTGCAGAGGCCATGATTAGTCGGTATTCTGGCGATTTTGAGTGTCTTTGTGAGAGTCAGTTTCAGTCATTATTCATGGATAAGTAGGAAACCACGTAGCTACGTACTGTATATGTGCCTACATTATGCATGTAAGACTTGCGCTTGCGCGAGTAACCTCGGCGCTGCCTCCAATCTCCAGTGGTTCTGTATCGACATGGCGTATTTTTACTTGAAATTATATCTTACCGTACCGTTAGTACTGAAAGTACGGTACCTATATCAGAACGCTTCTCTCAAGACATCGATGACTGAGGACTGACGGTTTGAATGATGCGAGAATGCCTGGAAGGATTCTTTCGGCTAGAGAGGAGTAGATCTCTGGCTGTAAGTTCTTGTCATGTATTGTGACCGGATACCTCGTAGGCAAACGTTACCTACATTCGTCCTACGACGCTGAAGGCTGCTGCGAATAGCACGTGAGGATGACATAACCCTTCTGTCGTGCAACGTGCCATGCTTCGTTCTTACTTATCGAGCGGATAGGGGTTTTCAGTTTATTGTTTATCAATTCTGATTAACATTAAGAATGCTAATGATGTCACTCACAACATAGTGGGAGCACAGCTCCCAAGGTGATGTCTGAAGTATCTGAAACAGCAAGATAAATGGATTGGAGAAAGCGGGCCCGGAAGGAGCATGACATCATCCGTCATGCAGACCGAAGAGAGGAAACGGAAAGGCAGTTCTACGCGGCAACCCATTGAGGACACACTCGCTTGATGAACTTCATGAACTTGAAGAACCCGACGGCATACTCGACATTACCGTGAGGATCAACTGCTCGCTCTGGAAAGGCTATACCAGCACCATATAAGCCCTTAACGAGTCGTCCACGTTGATCGTAGAATCCGCCGGTTTCATGATCAAAGTCCGGTTCCAATGGCGAACCATTCACAGAAAGCTCTGGCAAGGGATCCCGAGTGAAGCCAATGGCCTGAACGAAGTGGGTGCAGAAGGGTAACTGCAGTTTAAACTGGGCCATTTCTTTACCACTGCTGCAATCGACCTTGGTGATGAAACGGCCTGCCTCGGAGGTCGGTAAAACTTCATCTTCGAGCTGCTGGCGGGCAAAGTCCGCAGCAAGACCCTTGAGACCGGTGTTATCTCGGAGGATCCAGCCGTCCATGTACTCGGCATACCGAAGAGGATGCCGGGTAAACCACTTGATGCGGAGCTGGGGATGAGAACTGCGGGCCAGATCTACCAGGTTGAGCAGAGCCAGAATGGCACTATGAGAAGCCCCTACAACGGCAATGGTCGAGGGCGTGTCTCGGGGAAGGTGGGATGCGAGTTCACTAGGCTTCAAAACAATGTCAAGGTCCAGCCTCTGAATGTTGTGCCCGGGAACAGGGATCGGAGCAGTTGTCGGTGACGACCCCGTACACAGGATGAGTTTGGGTGTCTCAACTTCAAACTCGTCGGACGATCCTTGACTTTTGATCCGTACTGTCCAGGAAGAAGTCTATGGAACAGGGGAACGAAAAGCATTAGCAAACTATCCGATTTCTCTCTCATGTTACCCTCCTTTGGTACTCCAAATGCGGGACCTCAAACTAACCTTTTCCGCCAGATTGGCCGCAACGACATAGCCCTTGCACTGAACAACCCGATCCAGTTTCACAATGCCCTCTGTTAGAGCCTGAACCATTTCTGCACCATGCTGTAACAGACATGTTTGATCTTGGTCAAGTTTCGCTAGAGTCGTAAAAGCATTGGGCATGCGTGCACTACTGATGACTGCACGGAATGGCTGGACACCTGTGGCATACGTTTGGAAGAAGGAGACTTTGGTGTTGCTGGACAGAACCCGAACAGTCAGCCGTAGAGTTCCTCCTCCGAAAGCTTGCTCGGTTTCCCAAGCGCGTAAAGAGCCGGCAATAGTCGTGCTCACCTAGGAACCTCGCGGTATTTCCTGCCCACACGTCCGGCTTGAAAGTACGGATCAACCCAGGCAATTTTCCCACCAAGCTGCCTCTCCAGGAGATTTCCAACCACGGCCAGGCCGGCAGGACCGGCTCCCACGACAACCGCAGCACATTTCTGAGGCGGATTCATGATTGTTGAACGATTTGGAGATATAGATGCAGAGAGCTTCCGTAAATGAAATTTTATGGGACAACTCTGGAATTACCACATGAAGACAACTCAACGGGGTACTGAAGAATTATAGAAAGGGTGTGAATTAGTAGGGATTCTGCCAGATGGTTAGAATCAGAGCCCGGCGTTTTTCTCGGTGAAAACAGCTATCAAGCGTCGTGACACCTTCTCCTAGGGAAAGAGGTGAGCCCGATCATCATATACATCGGGAAACGGCGAGCAAACGGACGCAAAATGACAACAGCGAACAATAAATCCGCATTGCAGACGCTTGGCAGGATTCACTGTTTACCGCTTGTTCCAGTCCATTGATATGGGGATGCGTAACAGAAACGGCTTGAAAGCGCGAATCAGGCATCTCGGGCGATAGAACACATGGTGCGGACGTAATCAACCGTCCATATAGAGCAGGGAAAGCCACAGATCATGCGGTGATAACAATCCTAAAGGTACTAGGATACTCCATTCTCACTCCCCGTCTCATAGACTCAAGATGTCGAAAGCCCGAGCATAGATGAGCAATCGGCGACTGAAACTGACTGCTGAGTGGTTGAACTTTGATGGTTGCGCAACTGATGCACCAGGCCCCACTTGGACCTTGCGAGTGAATCGCCGACCGACACGCTTTCCGTCGGCTGAGGCAAGAGAGAATGTCACGGGGGGATGTGCTCGTTGTCGCCCATCGTCAAGGGTACAATGAGGGATCCCATGCAGTTCATGGCTGTCACGAATTATGACCGTCGCAGCTTAAACAGACATTAACCTCATTCACAATGGAAAGGAACAGCTCCCAAAGGTGCTGGTAGTGATGGAGGATGGAGAGTCCTTATATTCAAGCACACGAGAACCATGCACGGACAGTCTTGGCGCGATTGCGTGATTTCGACTAGAATGAGGTTATTACTGTTTGCCTGATTGGGAAGGTTGCTGCTATCTCAGGCATCTGCAGAAGAGTGCGGAGTTGAGGTTAAAGGGTCTATATACTGAGCAAGGGCTAGGGGTCACTATGGTCCACCAGCTAGGTACCTAAGGGTTTGACCAGCTATCTCCTCGTTTTTATATCATTTCGCTGATACTCAACCTTAACATATGCTGTTGTATTCCTGCGTTGTCTCTTTGGAAGCTGCTCGGGCTACGACTATCGTAAGGCACGGAGAGCTCGTAACAAGGTAACAATTTGAACACCGAAAGTTAGTAGAATGTACATTCGCCATTCCATACTACACGGCCCAGAATACCCGGACAGATATAAATTCGACATGGTTTGACCATCCTGGAAATCGTGCTCGTCCCCAAACAGCAATGGAGTCTCCCACGCCCAAGGTCCGGACTACACTCCCATCCAGCGTCGCCCGACCACGACCTTGCGAACGCTCAATCTCTTCGGCGTCAGCAGATTCAGCTTGGATGTTGTCAAGGTAGTGCCAAGTGATTGTATTTTCTTGTGTCTGTGATACTGCGGTCTTATTCATCTGAAGTTTGCCAGGACCTGGCAAGAAATGTGAGTGCTGGGGACCGATCGGTTCCTGACGCTCCCCTTGGCCAGTGGGCAGAGGGGAAACCTGCGATTCTGTTGGGTTGCTGCCATTTTGAGGGATTGCGTGTATGATCTCGACATCGAACCAGGTATATGACCCGTCGTAGGGGCATTCACCTCTGGGACCACCACCCCAGCCCTGGTCATGAGACAAGATTGTGAAAACAATCTTGCGACAGGGATGTACGGTCTGATGAGGAAGTACATTTGGGGATGCGCTTCCCAGTGTCTATCGATAGGTCATAAGATATCAGTTTCCATTATAGATAGAAGAAATGGAAAAATTGAAGGCTTGATGATCGCCAACCGCAGTCAAGGCAAGGTCTGCAACATACCGCCTCATCATAACACAATGGTGCCGTTCGTAGCAGCTCTCGGTCATGATCCTGTCTGATAATAGTCCTTGTGTCCATCCTAGCCTCGATTGAGGGCCAGTATTCGGCAGCCTCCATAATCATATCCACAATCTCCATTGGCAACCCCTCCGAGATGACCTTCCATCTCAAAATATGCCTGACCTTGAACACATCAAATACACCGGGATAGAAAATATCCGAAGCTGTGTCTTGTGCTGGCTCGCTCGAAGAAGGGGTTGTATCGTCCGAGTCATTAAATGGCGGTTGACGAGGGGAACGGAAGCGGCGCATAATGGACGGGAACATCATATGAAACTGAAACCAATGTCGTAAAGTGTGAGGGTATCTTGAGGGATTTTGAAAAGACGGCTAGACAATAAAAATTCAATATGTTTTGAAGTGTTCGGGCCAGCCCAGGCATCAATAATCAAGGAGTTATCCTGTGCCCAGTCGAATACACTGCTCAACGATCAAGGTCAACGCTGGTTGAAAACCAGCTGACTATAGATGCAGATAAAAATAGGCAGGTATCATAGATGTCTCCCCATGGCGATTTTGTCTATATTGTGCCCCAAAGGCGAAGTCAGAATAGTTGCCGTTTCCCCACGTCAGGGCGGGGAGTTCAGGGGACTGTGGGTAACTCAGATCTCTGATGCTTATCAGTATCAGATTTGTCTGATCAGTGGCTTAGAAGCACAAATAACGGCCCCAGGCTAGAACTATAATAATGCGACGATGTTTAAGAATATTAAGAAGCATTCAAGGAGATAACTCGACGATCTGATATACCTCTCTGTGTTCAGCTGATAAGAAATAGATAGTATATCTGATGACGTCAATGTTGTCAATGGGTGCTTTTACCACACCGTCCGCGTACTTCTATTGGGCGGCCCTTTAATATTCTATATTGGCTGAAAAGCAGTGCTGTGATGACTTTGATATAATGCAATTTCGGCTTCAGGAGAATGATCTTCTCAATGCGGTGAGTACATAGTTACGCTTCGTTGTAAGCAGTGCCAGGAACAGCCCACTAGGCATATGGAAGAAAATGATACATGTAAAGAAACCTATTTTGCCATCTTTCCTTTCCTGCCTCCGGCAGCCTGGTACGCTGCAGCTCGCTTGGCGCTCCGGTTCTTCGGCTTGCCTTTGGAGCCACGACTCTTGGTCTTAATTTTGATGCGCGATGATCCCTCTGTTGCACGATTACCTTCAAACACCACCGAGTTCCCGGATATAGACTTTCTCCCTTCGGCCTTCATCTTGGCCGCGCCGGCTCTACCAAAGAGCTTACCTGCTCGCCCTTGGAGCGTCGAGAAGCCCTCGCCGAGCGCTTTGCCGTGAGCCCCAGTTTCTGGGCCATCACGCTTCTTGGGGAGCTTTTTGGCCCGTGTCACCCGGAGTTTCCGCGGCAGCATGGGAGGAAACTTCTTCCCGTCCAGCAAAAGTGCCTCCTCCACACAGACCTGATCATAAAACTGTACATAAGCAAAGCCTTTGCCCACGCGGGTAGTACGGTCACGGACCACCCGGACAGACTCGACATTGCCTTTGGTCGAGGTCCGTTCTTTAGATCCCTTGGTGTGAGCGTTGAATGTGCGCCATAAACCTTCCTCAACGTCCGCGGGCCCCGACTTCTTCTTTTTCTTCTTCCCGTCTTCCTCCGGGTCGGTCTCGTTGTCCACGAAGTCAAGGTTACCAACAAAGACACACCGTTTGTGGTCGATCTGGGAGGGATGCGCAACGCTGTCGACACGAAGGTGTCGATCTAGAACAACGGTGCCGTTCAAGGCCGCAGGTGCTTTCCGTGCTGCCTGCACCGTACTGTAGACAGCATATGCGTTGGTGCTTGGTGTAGTGTCATCCAATATCTCACGTCTAGCAAAGGCAGCTCGCTTGGGGACTTTTCCACCGCTAGCGAAGGCCACGGAGCGAAACCGAATCGATTCGACTTTGTGAGGCCCTGTAGATTCCGGAAGAGTGGAAAGGAAGGATGCCAGATGCTTCAATAGGGTCTTCTTCGCCGATTTGGACCTGATGACCTGGCTCGAGACATTGCCGAGGAACACGGTACGGTTACTCTTTTCGAGTTCCTTGGACTCCGGATCACCGCTCTGAGTCTCGTGCTCGGGGATTGTAATTTCGTCCTCTTCCTCCGAACTTTCGTCATCCTCGTCTTTAGACTTGTCCGACACAGAATCAGAATCCTTTCCTTCCTCCTCAACTTTCTGCCTCTTTGCCTTCTCGGCGCGACGCTTTTCTAGTTCCTTCTGTTCCTCCTTCGCTATACGCCGCATATAAGTCTCTTCGAGATCTTCCGCAGGGGCCCTTTTCCGTTTCTTGCTCGAAGTCGCCTGGGTATCCACGGCCGGCGTCCTCTCGGCGTCACTGGCGACTTCCGAGACGTCCTGCATATCTTCATCTTCACTTTCCGGGTCCTCCTCAAGCTCAGAGATTTCTTCATCGTCTTCTTCATTTTCTACATTATCTTCTGGCTCGTTGTCCTTTCTCTGTGTGACAGTGGGCTGCACAGACGGAGCTTTCACTGGACCGGCCTGAATGATTTGAGAGTGTTAGAAGAGCCTTATATTAGTCATGGGTAAGTACATACACTTTTTTCGAACAATGAAGCCACTGTTGGGTCAATGGCGGCTTTTCCGCCCAAAAAAGGCAGAGTAGCGTCTGTCTTGCCTGGTTGCGAGACATTGTCCGACTGAGCCTTACTTTTCTTGCCCATCTTCAATCAGAATGGGGAGACCTCTGTCACCCTTATAGAAATGTCGTCAGGCGATGAGGAAGATCAAAACCAGTGGTTAAATTTCACGCTATCAAAGCAAATACGCTTTTCTTGCTTTCTTTGTTGCGTTTCCTAATTTTTGGTTGCCTCGAAAAGAAAAAAATATTTCGGCGACGGGAGCTGGATAAGATCACGTGCTTTATCGTATCAGCAAAGCCGAACAAGAGAGTCGCAGCGTCCACAGTGCGGAGACGTCATACAGCTTGACTATCTGTTCTATTATTTTCATGAAAGATTTTTACGCACTCATATTAGTAGATAGTAATCAAGTCATGAGAGAAGATGGCAGGAACTTCTTAGATCCAGCATCGTGGTTGTCGTGAAGAAGTACCACGATGGGATCAACAGACGGAGCACGGATTGATATTATCCGCAATTAGCGGCAATGATATCACCGGCACCGAGATCTCTTCGTGGCAAGCTGCTACCAAATACATTGCGACTGGTCAATAGTAGGACTATTAGACAGGAGTACACATTGCTAAGAGCGATTTATTTCCAGATGTTCTGAAATGCACTTTCTAAGAAGCGATGTCTTATCAGATGAAATCACTCAAACTGAGATGCAAACTAAGGATATGTCACATGATGTGTAATCGCCGATACCAGGGCGGTCAGTAACCACAGCGTCCACACCACCTCTCCGGAGTGTGGTCAGCGTCGGCATAAAATACGGCAGAATACCATTACGCTCGGAATACCGCGACGAGTCTCAGCAGAGCAAAAGAGGTAGATTATTGCTGTCGTTATTGGGGCTCCCTCCTTCACCTTTCTCACTACTGTCCGCTCCCAAGCAAATCTGTGGGTTCTGGAGCACCAGTGAATTTCTATCTCTGCTTGATCAATCATTTTCAGCTCATTGAGTTCTCTATTTACCCTCTCGATATCCTTCGACCGCGATTTCGAACCAATCTCCGCTCGTCCATGCCGCCTTTTCTCTCGCGCTGCAGTGTCGTATCGCCCGCTTCTTGAAGTCCACCACCTCCACCCTCTCCTCCTTCTTCTCCTCGTTCTCCATATTCCCACGCACAGTGCCTGTTGTGAAGGCCTGAGGTGATATTCGCTTCTGTTGGACTCTACAGACGCCCGCCAGTCTGATTTATTTTGGTTCTGTGTTTCTGTGGCTCGCCCCCGTGAACGCAGTGGCTAAGTGAATCGCTGCTCGGTCGCGGGCAGCTGTGCTCAGTGCTACTTTCACAGTTGGCGCATTGTTGATTGGTACGTTTTTTTGTGGCTTAAGGCATATGAGACGATAGGTTCTGCTCTATTCAATGAGGCTACTGCTTCGGTCCCTGCGAGAACGTTTCCCTCTTGCTCTGTTGAGACGGCGCAGTTGCCAGAGACTGCTGGTGATCTCGGGGTGTGTCCCGGGTAGCAGAACGATCAAATCTCCGCACCGCCTTCATCTGCAGACAAGGAACAGCCCAAACAAACTGTTTTCAATGACGGATCTCCTTTCTTATTATGTGCATTTATGCGCCGATTCATTAATTTTGAGATTCTCGCTGACCTTTATACTCAGTTTTCCAGTTTCCAGACCACCCACTTCCCACTGACTGCCCGAGACCACATTCCAGCTAGCCAACCTTAGTATTCGACTTCCCCAAACCGTTCAGAGACGCCCATTCAGCCGATCTCCATACTTTCTTCTCCTAGGTTGTTGTGCTCTTGCCGCGCCATTGCCTATGGAGGTGGCCGCAAGTCGAGACTCAGCCCCTGTTGGTCCGCCAACAGGGCCTGATGCCACAATCACCAATGGCGACCAAGATCTTCTACTGGATGATTCGCTCATGGACGATGGACGTTCAAGTAGTCTGAGCGACATCGACGATGTGTTGGATAATGAACCCTCGGACTACGAAGAGTCGCCCAAGCCCGAGAAGATAGCACCAGAGAACGACTCTGAAGCTGAGACGGAGCGCATCGAAGATTCCCCGAATCATTTTCGCAGAACCAACATTGTCGTGAGCAGTTATGGCCCTAGCCCCAGCAAATTGGCCCAATCGACGACGTACGATGACGCCGAGGACGGGGACGACCAAATTGAGGATTCACCAAGCAAACCTCGCTCCAAGCCCAACGGAATCCTTGAATCCGCCGAAGACATACTTGGTTTGGAAGACTCTGCATTATCCGAAGGTACGGGAAAGAAGCGCAAACGACCCGAGTCTGGCGCGGATCTGGAAGGCGAGACGGGTGACGAAGACGAACCGCCTCAGAAGCGCCGCGGGTCGGTGAAGAGTGAATTGAGCGAACCTCCAGCAGATGACAGTGCGCTGTCTCCGGAGCCCATTGAAGAAGTAATTAAAGCGAACGAGGAAGATACCCCGGCCGATGACCTTCCCGAGTCTGACCTACCCACGGCGCCCACGAAAAACAGAAAAGGCAAGAAGGGAAAGCGAAAAGGGCGAAAGACACGCGATACGGCTGATGATGACCTGGATAGTGGTGCCCTCGAGACGGGCGCGGAGGGTCCTGCGGACGATGGCGATGACGAAAATATTGAACGTGGAGAGGACGCCGACGATGGGGAAGCAGCCGCCAAGCTCGAGGAAGAATGTAAGTCGCCCATTGTGGAGTCTTGGATCATACTGCCATGTCTTGTTCGACTTACTAATAGCTTCTGAAGCAGCTAAGAGGATGTCCGCAATGGAATCTTTAACGATCCTTGAAAAGGAATTCGCAGCCCTACGTGACAAGTGAGTCGAATTATCAAATGACTAGCTTACATCCTTCTGTTTGCTGATGATGCCCCTTTAGGATATATGACGAAAGGATATCCAAATTGAATCGAGAATTGGAAATGCTTACTGGCCCCAACCCGACTCACCCTGAATACCTGCGTCAGCTCGAATGTGTTAAACGACACCGTGATGCAAAGATAAAATACGAACACACCTTGTTCCAGTACCGAATCCAAGCTCTCATGAACAAGAGTCTGGCAGAGCGTGCTCAGACGCATAGCACGTACTTCC